TGTGGCTGTGGAAAACTAAACCAAAGTCAGTTGCCAGACTTTCAAGTTGTTCAGCACTGTGACACCAAAGAAAAGTGGCGATGTGAGCAGAGCTGCAGGATTTTAGCTTTGCCAGCCCAGCAAGACATTACTGTGTGGTTACCCTCTTGTCTCGAAGGAATTTTCCTATTGCTAAATCACACACACTTGAAGAATTCATTCCTTTGGTTTGATGCAATGTGTCTTTTCAAAGTTGTTCCTCAGGCATACTGTGGGATCCATCATTTGTATTCTGAATTAAAAGCAAAAAAATGCTGCCATCTGGCCTTCATAATAATTCCAGATCGTTTACCAAAGATATAGTGTCCCTTTCAGGGCTACTGTGACTATGGCATCCTTGAAAGAACTTTCAAACGCCTGTCAAATTATGTCAAATGCATGAGGAACTCTAGGAAAGAGAAATTCATCAGATTTGTCATAGACATTTTTCAATAGAAATTCTTTTGTTTTTTTCCATCTGCCTTGTTTTACCAAAATCTTAGATCTGAATTCCAGATACATCCATTCTTGTACTTACCAATCATGTGTCTTCTGTCTCATTCTATTTATGTGTTCAACATTGGTCTCATTTAGTCTGAAGAAGAGAAGCCCGACCCATTGCTGCTTCTAGAAGGCCTGTGCCGTCTCTTTCTCAGATTGCTGGGTAGCAGAGGACAAAGCAAGAGAACAAAGGCCACAATGCTAGGGATAGACAATGCCAAAAAAGATAACAGCCTATAGGGCCCTCTCAGACTAACACCAAAGCTTTGTAAGCATTCGTGAATATGTTACATCCTGGGATATAAAGAGTGTCTAAATGCTGACCTGTTAAGGAGTTTGCTCACTCTGGAATTTTTTGTGATTTCACTGAATTTAAGGAGAATAAGTCTTTTAGTTGGAGATCCTTAAATCATCCTCTGGAGATTTGAGTTTCTGAAATGTATTAGTAGAATTGACTTATAGTACTCTATCAAGGGAAAGCAACATTCAAAATTATTCAGAGCTGGGTGTCAGTGGCTCACACCTGTAATCCTAGCTACTCAGGAGGCTGAGATCTGAGGATCCAGGTTTGAAGCCAGCCTGGGCAAAAAAGTCCCTGTGAGACTCTCATCTCCAATAAACCACTCAAAAACTGGAAGTGGTGCTGTGGCTTGAGCACAAAGAGGCTCAGGGACAGCACCCAAGCCCTGAGTGCAAGCCCTACAATCAACAACAACAACAACAAAAAACCCTCCTGGGATCTCATAGAGGCCAAGTCTGGACAATTTCACCTTCTAGATGCTGTGTATGTTCTAGCTTTTTAACCCCAGCCACACGAATATTATTTTTAAATGGCAAGTGACTTCCTGTTAAAGCCAGAGTACACAGCTCAGGAGCAAACTTAGTACTTAGTGTAGGAGACCTGTTAGGAACTGCTTACTGGTTTGAGTAAAATTTTACTTTGAACATGTCTCATGAAAAGACAGGATCTCTTGTTACCATTACTCCTTTATTTTCTGTTAATTAGCTGTTGTTCATTGATCAAAAGCAGATGCTATCTGGGGAAGAAACTAGAGTATCATGCATTCATCTCCACCATAGTATTAACAGTTACCAAACTTGTATCTCAAAAACTTATCAGCAGGCACCAGTAGCTCACTCCTATAATCCTAGCAATTCAAGAGGTGGAGCTCTGAGGTTTGTGGTTAAAAGCCAGCCCAGGCTTTAAACATCTGTAAGACTCTTATCTCTAGCTAACCAGAAAAAAGCCAAAAATGGAGGTATGGCCCAAGTGGTAGAGTGCCAGCCCTGAGTAGAAAAGCTAAAGAACAGCATCCAGGCCCGGAGTTTAAGCCCAGGGATAAACACCAAATCAAAACCAAAGGGGAAAAAAACACTTACAATGACTTTTTCTTTCCTGTGTCTCCCCTTCCCCAATACTTCCATTTTGATGTCTTACCACTAACCTGCCACGCTAACCCTAAACCCTGTCTTCAGTCTTCAATGCAACTTTCCAAAGTGTTTTTGGATAGCTACTAGTCTAATGAGATGCTCGCAGAGAAAAACAAAAGGTTCTGGGTCACAACTAGTGTGAGAAGGCAGGGCTCATTCTGGCCCTGGGAACTTTGCATGGTGTCACAATACACAAGCAGCAATTTCCTGGCATTTACAGCCACCTCCTTAGAGGGTTGGTTGACTGCTGATAAAGCCATGGCTTCATGTGCCTGTCACTGTGGCACTTCCTGAATGCGCCGGGCCCTTGGTCCTGTGTTCCTCTCTGTCTCTGCCATCTCCACGGTAGGATCTGATTTTTGCAAATCCTGGGGCATAGTTTTGCTCCCCCCCCCCGCATCTTCCCCGCACTGAGCTCTCTGGTGAGCACTGGCAAGGCAGTCAGTGAGGGCGATTTGCACATTTAGGGGAACTTATGGTCAAGAACTCTTGACATCTTTTAAAACTCCTTCCTCTCATTCATTCAGTTTCCCTTGGCCAGCCTCGATTCTGCTTTCCTTCCATGCTGGGGACTGTGCTGGCCTTGGCATGTCCACTCTTCCTCTGAGTGCTGGTGTACACCCGCTCTGAGTGTTTCCAGTAATTCCACATTTCGGAGAAGGACATTGAAGCACACAACAGCCCAAGACTTGGAGCTAAGTGATAACAAAACAATTCTTGCTCCTGATCTTGTGTTCATGCTGACTGAATTCCTTCCTCTCCTTCTTAGTACTTGTCAACATCCTTATCTTTTTTTTGGGGGGGAGGAGACTCTGTGTGTGTGTGTGTGTGTGTGTGTGTGTGTGTGTGTGTGTGTGTGTGTCTGTGCACGCATGGGCATGCACACACAACACACGTACCAGTCCTGGGACTTGAACTCAGGGCCTAGGCTCTGTCCCTGAGCTTTTGTGCTCAAAGCTAGTACTCTACCACTTTGAGCCACATCTCTATTTCCAGCTTTTTGGTAGTTAATTGAAGATATGGGTCCCACTGACTCTTTCTTGCCCTTGACCCCAGATCTCAGCCTCCTAAGCAGCTAGGATTACAAGCATGAACCACTGGCACACAGCTAACATCCTATCTTTCAAAGTCTGTCTCAGACACTTACCTCTTCCAAAGTCCTCTGCATTCATTCTATCCAGTTTTGGGGGGGGGCGTTTTTTGGTCAGTCATGGTACTTGAACTCAATGTCCCTGAGCTCTTTTGCTCAAGGGTAGGTCTCTGCCACTTTGAGTCCCAGTTTTCTGGTGGTTAATTGGCGACAAGAATCTCACAGACTTTCCTGCCTGGGCTGGCTTCAAACCATGATCCTCAGATCTCAGCCTCCTGAATAGAATAAGGGGCATGAGGAGGCACTGGTGCCTGGCTCCAGTATTGTTTTCTAGCACTTTCTCTCCCATTGCACTTAGGACTAGTATTATAAGTTTGGGTCTTAACTCCTAGCGGGAGATGATCACCTAACCCTTTGTGATGAAGGATCACGCCTTTGGATTTAGTTCTCTTTGCAGGTAATGGTGATTATGGTAATGAAGTTTTTCTCCTTCATTTTTAGTCATAAAACTTCAAGTAGGAAGTGTTATGGCTCAAGTGGTAGAGCACTCGCCTTGAGTTGAAGAGCTCAGGGACAGCGCCCAGGCCCAGAGTTCAAACCCCAAGACCGACAGGAGGCAGCCAGGGGGGTGGGGAGGAGTCCATCTTGAAAACTTCAAGTATATAGTAAAAAACGTCATGATGACATCAAGTAAATACATCACTTTTCTTTCCAAACTACTTTTTTCTAGGGGTAACAGAATTTGCACTGGTATACTGGGCTAACACTGTGCTTGCTAGAGGCACAGTAAATATTTGTGACAGGACTATTGGATACTTAAACAAATCCTTCAATTGACTGATTCTTATTTTAGTGTTGATTTTCAGAGCCAAGAATATATGAGTATCTTGAACTCTACAAACAAGAGAAAGCAATCTTAAAAATGGAGGTAGAAGGAAAAAGACTCACATAAATCTCCTTCTAATGCTAGTTCTCCCCCCTCCTCCCTCCCTCCCGACTCTCTCGCCCGCTCTCGCACTCTCGCTCTCCTGCAGTACTGGGGCTTAAACTCGGAGCCAGAGCATTCTCCCTTAGCTTTTGACTCAAGGCTGGCAGGCTTACACCTGAGCCATACCTCTATTTCTGGCTTTTTCTTGGTTAACTGGAGCTAAGTGTCTCAAGGACTTTTCTACCTGGGCTGGCTTTGAACTGCAATCCTCAGATCTCAGCCTCCTGAGTAGCCAGGATTACGTGTGTGAGCCACAGTCACCTGATTATTTGGTGATTTGAAGCAAAGTCTCACTATATAACCCAGGCTGGCCTCAAAGTGTAAGTTTATGAGTATGAGCCCTATGTCTACCTATATAATGTTGGCAATCTTCTTTACATCTTCTAAGTAAAAGAAGTAGAGAATGGCTTTTATTTGGGGATCCAAAAGTAATCAAAATTATACGCTTTGAAATGATAAAAATACTTGCGTTTTCAAGGACCCAAACCAAGATAAAGGGTTTCTGTATAGAATATTCCAGAGCAGTAGTTCTAGGTCTCCCAATAAGAGTTAAATACATTGAAAAATGTTTTTCAGGCAACAGAAGTTACACTGTAGCAAAGAGCCCAGTGTGCACCCATCCACGTCATGATGATTGTATTTACAATGCCAGTTCTCTGCTTCCCCATTTAGATGATCCCTCCTGCCCTAGATACTCACCTATTCACCTCTTTGATTCTCCTGCGTGCTGAGCACACAGTCAGCCCACAGAAACACGGCGGGGCCTTCTCCACTCAGGGCTGCTCACACCCATCAAAGTGCAAATAGGTTCTGTTGTTCAGATTACTGGGTGTGCCAGTAATAGCTAGCTGCCTTCAACCTCATCTGTCAGATGACTTCACAACCCAACTCTTCTTACTCAGATGGAAAGATGATAAAAATTTTTGCTTATAAAACTGTGTGGTACTTAAGCCCGCGCTTTCTGCTCTGCAGGGGATTTCCAAAGAAGACGGGGAGAACTGCTAGGATCGCCTCCGATGAAGAGATTCAAGGCACCAAGGATGCTGTCATTCAAGATCTAGAACGAAAACTTCGCTTCAAGGAGGATCTCCTGAACAACGGCCAGCCGGTACGGAGAGGCAGAGGGCAGGGACAGGACATAGTAGCGACTCACATCCAAGACCTCTTCTTTTCATTCACTAAGGCTTAACCTCTTAAGATTCCTCCACATGATTAATTTACTACTTCTTGAATCTCAACATCCCTTTTAGAGAGTTAGAAGAACGAAGAGCAGTTTTAATTAGGCTTGCAAGAGTGACCAAGTAATAACCCTGTCATAAAAGGAAAGAAGTTGGATGCAGTAACACCCCCCTGTAATCCCAGCTACTCATCAGGCTGAGATTTGGTTCCAGAACAGCCCAGACAAAAAGTTAATGAGTCCCATGTCAACAAATAAGCTGAGCATGCTAGTGCGCATCTATAATCCTTGCTTCACAAGAGGAGGATTGCTTTCTGAGGCTGGTCTTGGGGGCTGGGAGGGAGGGGAGCAAAACTCTATCTAAAAAATATCTTAAAGCAGAGGGCTGGAATTATGGTTCAAGTAGGAGGAGAGCACCTTGCCTATACAGCACAAGGTCCTAAGTTCAAAACTTCAGTACCACCCAAAATATAAAAGATAAAGAAACATGAGTTTCCATCCTGGCTGGCAGCTGTTGGAACTGGAATGGTTTGTAAACTGATGTGGTGAATTGGAATTCAAGAACCACAAGGAGAATTCTACTCAAAATACACTTGCTAGAGAAATCATCACTGAAGTTAAACCCCCTTCTCCCCAGTTCCAGCCAGCTATGGATTCAGTAACCTTAAAGTGTAGTACCTGTCCCACAGTCCCATTCCAATTTGTCAGAGCAAAACTAGAACCACTAAACTAGAGATGAAAATAAACAACTAAACTACAGATGAAAACTGAGTATGAGAGGTACCGGTGGCTCACGACTATAATGCTACCGGAGGCTGAGAGTGAGGCTCACAGAGTTCAGAAAAATCTATGAGATTCTTATTTCCAATAAACTACCAAAAAGCTGGAAGTGGAGCTGTGGCTCAAGTAGCAGAACACTAGCCACAAAAGCTCAGTTCGGTGCCCAGACCCTGAGGTCAAGCCCCAGGACTGGAAAAAGCAAGACAAAAAGGAAGGGAAGGGAAAGGAGGGAAAGGGAAGGAAAACAAGGGAGATAAGTATATTTCAAGGCTGTAGAACTGTAGAATGTATGCATAAATCTGGTGGAAAATGTATGGGACATTTTCTCCATTAGACTCCATATTTCCTTCCTCATCAATTTTTTCTTGTCATATTCAAACTATTTTAAGGGGATGAGAAAAGTTAGTCCAGCGAGTAAGGTTACCCAAGCAAAGGGAAGGAATCTGTCATGTAAAAGCACCAAGAAATTCTGCATGGCTCTTAAGTAGCAGAAGAAAAGTCCTCTGTGTATCAAATCTCCTTCTCAGACAACTCTGTCATTAATAATGTGTTCTGGAAATTTTTAATACATTTCACATTTATAAATAAGAATATAAAATAGATTGTGTTGAATACAAAGGTAGAGAATAGAATAGGGACGTGAATCTGATTTTAATTATTAGGTTACTTACTCTGATTAAGGAAGATTAAAATTCTAATGTATTTTGTGTTACTCTTTTCACTGGTACAGATCTTTTGCTTCGCAGAGGGAAGGTATTTTCCCCTGAAATAACTGATTTTTTTTCATGTAAATATAAATAGTTAGAACATTTCCCTGTTCTGTCAACTAAAGCCTTTGAAAGATGAAAACTTAGGAGAACTTTTTCAGGAGGTAAAGACACCTCTCCAGTTCTACAAGCCCCCGGGGTGGTTGTTTATTTAAATATGCCTAGGATTCTCTTGGTTGGAAGTAAGACTTCCAAAAGACACTATTCAACCCTATTGTGTATATTTCCTATCTTCCTACTGTACGTATTCTATCTCTTACATATAATTGTCCATGATTGATATTTATCAGTTTAGTGGTAAACAGTATGACAGTAAGTTCCATAGGTTTTCACACTTGAGAGTTTAGGACAGGAGGGTAAGAGTTCCTTATAAAAAGGGGATTTTCCTGTTCATTTCTAGTGTTGCTTATTTTGGCTTGTATTTCTACATACATAGCATATAGCTTAGAAACCAATCTATGAAGTAAGTCTGGCTTCTAATGGTAGCAGGTGCATTCTGCTAAAGGAATAGGTAGCAAATGGGTACTTTTTCCTTTACAAGGAACAGGGTGGGAATCATTCTGTGCTTTCCCTGGTGTTTGTGCTATTCACTATGAGATAATTAGGAAAGCTTTTTATGAGAGCACAGCTTGTTTTTTCTTTTTAATCTCTGTGAAAAATAAACTCCCTGATTTGAATAGAAGTGAGAACATGACTTTGCCACTGAGAGACTCACTCCTCCCTCTCCTGGTCCCTGTCCTTGCTTTATTCATGAAATAAGTTCAACTTTAGGGTTACTTGGCACTTGATTTGTTTCACTTCCCGGTTTGAGCTGGAACTACAACCAGCAATTACTGGAAATTGTAAATTTACCCAACATACTTTCCTGATTAGAGAATAACCAATACTATTTGCATCAATATTCAGAAGTTGATCAGAAATAACGTCGTACTTATTTAAGATTCTGTCTTACTCATCTCCCTATTTCTAATCAAACCCAAGGGAGCAGGTGGGGCTCTGCATCACCCCCACATCCATACACAAGTCTCAGGCAGTTTAGAACCCACACACCCAAGTGTAAGAATGACCCCAAGTGACAAAGCCAAAGTGCTGGCACTTATGGAAAGATCAGTCTGGCGACATGGCACTGACAGACTCTAACCATGTCGACCAGAAGGTGAAAACACTGCCATTTCTTCCTGAGAGACAGGCAGTTTGCCACTGGGTCCTAATCTTTAGTGGGTGTCTTCATTTTCCTGTTCCCACTTCAGCCTGTGAAATCATTCTTTGCTGGTATTTACTGAGCATCTACTACATACCAGACACAGTGTTATGTGACCGGTGCAGCTCTCTGTCAGAGTGACCTCTTCTGTTTATCTTCTGGATATTTTTTTCTTTTCCTGTCACTTGGTCTGAGAGCTTATTCAGCCATTCTGAAGCCTACGGATGGCTCTGGAAATAACATTTCCTTTACAGCATTATTTTGCTGTTTGGTTATCTTTTTTTCTCTCTCTCTCTGTATTTGTCATTAAGGATAAAAATGGCACATCTTTGCTATGGGGTCTCTGCCTTGTTGCTTATCATTCCCTTTAAATTTGTGCTGTGTCAGTGGCGGCTACCCAGGTTAGAACTTGAGGATCAGAAGGGGCAGGAGGAGGAAACACTGAAGCAAGGGAAAGGAAGAGCTGCCTTTATATACAGCTGTCTGCAGCGAAGAGAAAATCTTTACAGAAAATGTCTGTTGTTGTTTTTTTTTAACTCTTTTTCTTAAGATAATAGCTACTTCTGCTTTTTTAAGTTTGTATTTTCTGTGATCTATTTTGCTTAGAGGTTAACATACGAAGAGAGAATGGCACGCCGATTGCTTGGTGCAGACAGTGCAACTGTCTTCAATATCCAAGAGCCAGAAGAAGAGACAGCGAATCAGGTAGGCCCTGTGTTGCTCTGAATACCTTAGGAAAAAATGAGTGATTCTTTCTGTTCGCCCCATACTCCTGAAGTTCACTTTGTGAAAAGTACAAGCAAGTACCTAGCTTTGGCAAGTGTATTTGTTGTAACGCCATCAATCAACCTCATAGCTAATTATTTTTGGAGCAGGTATGAAGCGTCAGACACTGCACTGAGTGGTTAATAGAAGCGTCATCCTTAGCATTACTGTGCTTTTCATCTTTTTTTTTTTTTGGTGCCAGTCCTGGGGCTCGAACTTGGAGCCTGGATACTGTCCCTGAGCTTTTGTGGTCAAGGCTAATGCTCTGCCGCTTAAGCCACAGTTCCACTCCCTGTGTCTTTGGTAGTTAACTGGAGATTAAGAGTTTCATGGACTTTCCGGACCAGGCTGGCTTTAAACCACAATCCTCAAATCTCAGCCTCTTGAGTAGCTCTGATTACAGACATGAGCCAACATCGCCCAGCTTTTTTATTTTATTTTTAATCATTTATTTTTCCTTTTGTGTTTCCTGTCTTGTACTTTAAGGCAAAAATGCTTTGTGTGGAAAAACACATTTTTCCTATTGGTATTATTAGAATAAGCTAATAAACATCTCATTCTATCCTTACTAGCAGCCAAAGTGAAATATCTACATACAGAGAGGACTGCCTTTGTCTTCTTTCATATGTATAGTTACAAAGCACAACCAGCAAAAGACCTCATGTTATTTTCATTCCCCTGCTACTACCAAAAATACTAATGTCATGGCTCTGGTATTAATAACTTTATAGTATCTATTATATTCTCAAACTTAAAAGAAAAAAAAATCTTCTAAAACAAATCTAAACAATCAAGGAAACTTTTTCCCATTTCCTGAGCAATGGGTCATCCTTCGCCATCTGAAAGCTTCTCAAGGTTAAATATTCCTGTCACGTAAGTTTCGCTTAAAAGCCGGTGCCAGTGACTCACACCTGCAACACTCGCTACTCTGGAGGCCGAGATCTGAGAATCATAGTTCAAAGCCAGCCTACGCAGAAAAGTCCCTGTGAGACTCTTATCTCCAAAGAACCACTCAAAAACTGGAAATGGTGCTGTGGCTCAAGTGGTAGAGCACTAGCCTTGAGCACAAAGAAGCACAGAGATAGTGCCCAGGCCCTGAGTTCAAGCCCCACAACCAGAAAAAAAAAGTTTCACTTAAGCAAATTAGGAATCACACTCTGTCCTGTTATTTCTGAGTCTTCACCTCTTTTTTTCTACTGTTGCAGGGCTTTGGGTCTCCTCCTGCTTCTCTAGGGAGTCCTCTGGATGGTCAAAAGGTTAAGCTCTCCCCTTCTTCTCTTTCATTCTCTGTGCTCTGCTCTCCCTTCCTCCTGGGTATCTGTCTTTACTGCCATGTTCATTATAAATATATGATCACTATTGGTTTTCCTTTAATATCAGATAAGATTGCTGCACTGTGACTTTTCCTGCCAGTTATTTATAAGCTCGAATTTAATTCCAGCACAGGTGGATACTCTGAAATTTTGTTGTGGTTGTATTAAGAATGGGTCTCACTGTGTAACACAGCCCAGGCCAAACTCACTATGTAGTCCAGGCTATCCTCAAACAAAGGATCCTCCAGCCTCAGCCACCCAAGTGGCTGGTATTATAGATGTATGCCACCACACCTGGCTACTCTGAACTGTAAATCTCAAAAAGCTTGTGCCTGATATTTACTCTTTCTAAGAGAAGAAAGTGAATAATTCTTTCAGTAATTAATTCAACAGTAATTAAGCAAGAAAAAAAAAACCATCTGTGCACCGTTCAAGTTTATTCAGACCATTGTACTCTTTCCCTGAAACCAGAACGGAAGGAGTTAGTTGAGTAATTTCTTTTACAAGTAAACCCCGTGACAATCATCTTATTTAATAGCAAGTAGGGAATATTTTCTACTGCAGTTTCCTTGCACTTTGTAGGTAAGAAAACAGGGTCCTCCCTAAAAGCTGATGGGTTCTTGGTTTTGCGGTTATGTTTCTAATGGAAGTGTTGACACAACTATCGGCCACATTTGTTTCTTTTAAAGAGATGGTTCCCAAATGGTTTTAGATTCAGGAGAAACTTATATCAGATGGGGTCAGTGGAGGGTAAAGAAAATGTCGTGATTTTTTTCCATTTTCATTTAAAGCTGTAGTGCAGCCCAGCATCAGCTTTCCCCTGCTGTGTTTCCTTTCTGTTTCCTTTTTGTGAACAGTTTAGGCATTTGTGGCCCTTTGCCTTATTTTCTTCCTCCTTTCAATTCCCACCTCTACTATCCATGAGAGAAAAGAGGAAGGGAAAAAACTCATCTGTTTTTTTTTTGTTTGATACGACTTGAAGACAATTTGAAATAATATATATTCTTGCTGCCAGATGTTTTTGTTGAACAGAGCTCCGATGACGTTTTTTAAGCTCTGTGATAAAAACATCCACCTTTTCCATCCCCTATTGGGCAGGGAGAGAAGACTCATCACACACACTGTATACAGGCATTGTGGCTGCTCACTTGAACTTGCTTTGTTTGACACAGGAATACAAAGTCTCCAGCTGTGAACAAAGACTCATAAGTGAAATCGAGTACAGACTGGAAAGGTCTCCTGTGGACGAATCAGGGGATGAAGTTCAGTATGGGGATCTGCCTGTGGAGAATGGAGTAGCGCCATTCTTTGAGATGAAGCTGAAACACTACAAGATCTTTGAGGGGATGCCGGTGACTTTCACATGCAGAGTGGCGGGGAAGCCCATGCCGAAGGTGAGCCTGCAGTGTGACTGCTTCAGAGCTGCCCCCTCTGTCTCCGCTGCTATAACAAAACACTTAAGCCTGGGTAATCTATAAAGAAGGGTTGTTTTTGTTTTTGGTGTGTGGGGGGGTCTATTCTGGAGACTAGGAAATCTACAAGCCTGGTGCCAGTGAGGGCTTTATGCTCTCTTCACTCATGGCAGAGAGCAAAGGTTCCCACAAGGCCAGAGAGAGAAAGCATGACAGTCACTGTTACAGTGACGCTACTCCTCAGATAACGCATCCATCACTCCACTGAGGAGAGTCACCGTTCATGAGGTCTCTTGCCCCGTGCTGGCTCACTTCTGCTCACACTCGGCTGCACCGGGAAACAAGTTTCCAGCCAATTGGTTCTGGGGACACACCTGTACTATGCCAAGAGTTGTACTTTCTGATGAGGACTGAACCTCCTAAATACACCAAACCTGGTAGAAAGAAGAAATGCGGAGCAGCTTCGTCAATGCTTCGTCAATACGGTATAAAATGCTTTAATACTCTAGGTACAAGGCCATCGTCATAGATCTTAGAAACTAAAGAGTGGTGGGGAGGGGTAAAGTACAGTGAGGTTTAAAGAAGGGAATTGATGGGATAGATGGGACAGAACCGAACAGAGAAGAGAATGGTGGGGGCAGGGAAGAACCCCTAATGACAACAACTGAACAACTTTTTCACACACCTCTGCCGTTTACCTTTCATTATTCATCTCAAACTGCAAATGACTGACTTGCAAATGGACAAACTTGGTCTTGAACCTAGTGCTCTATATTATATGGAAAAGTACTGTTCGTCACTGGTGGTGAAAAATTAAAATCTTTAACCTACAAAACCAAGGCTTCTTGTACTGTAATAAGTGAGGTGAGGTGAGATACACTGTTTGAAAAGATGATTGAAACTTCTGAGCCAGGCATACTTGCATATTCCTATAATCTCAACCCTCAGGAGGCTGAAACAATTTTAAAGGGAACAAACTATGAGATGAGTAGAGGGTGGCAAACAAACGCACATTCATGAAGTAAGCATACAGAAATGAGAAATACATTTACCAGGAGTCAAAGGTTAACTAATCGTGTAAAGGAACCAATAGGAAAATCAGAAAAATGGAAGAGGGAAAGTGCCCTATACCATCTATCCTCCTGATTCTGCGCAGTCTCCCCAACAGAAAGAATGTGGTACCATTACAACCTTTCCCGCAGACTGAATTCCAACCCCAGAGCCACACAAACATCAACTTGCTGTTCACGTGTAACATTCTCACACTCGGATCAGCTCCACAAACCACACTGCTTTTATCAGTCCTCCAAATCGTGCAAGAGTCCATGTGTGATCTGTAATCTTTCCTGCTACAGATCTATTGGTTTAAAGATGGGAAACAGATTTCTCCAAAGAGTGATCACTACACCATTCAGAGAGACCTGGACGGGACCTGTGTCCTCCACACTGCAGCCTCCACCCTCGACGATGATGGCAACTACACCATCATGGCTGCCAACCCTCAGGTAAAGAAGGGGATAGCTCAGGGCATTTTTTTGGTGTCCAATGCTTACGGTGTTTAGACTGAGGAATTGTCTAATTACAAGGTGAACTTGAAGTTCTTTGACTATTTTTCCGAATTCGATATCCATCTTGCTCTTACACATAGAACAATTCTTCGTTCCATGAGTATTTATTGCATCAAGTATTCCACAGGACTGACTCTGGCGTGGATGGACATTTCTTCCACGGCTGTAAGACCCTTCTCTGTCTGCACTGCTTATGGAGGTCCTAGAGTTGTGCTGATAGACAGGACAGAATCCTGAGGGGAGAAAATCAGCCTAGACAGAATCAGGGGAGGAGTTCCATGGTCTAACTCTTCTGAATAACTAACTGTTGAAGAAAATGAATACCAGGAAACTGAAACATGTTGTGTTGGGGGTGGGGGAAGGCACAGAGAGGGGAGGCACCTGAATGGAGGAAATCATTTATACTCCATGTAAAGGAGGAAAAAAATCAGCCCGCAAACAAATTATATAATTCCAGGTAGAATTAAGTTCTATGGGAAAAAAGCAAAGGGCAACACAGAGAGAGAGAGGCATGGATAGTTGATATTAGAAGAAATAAAAAATACATGTTAAAAGAAATACCCAAGCATCAGTGCAATTCTTGGCCTAGATTAAAGCAAGAGCATCTCACCCGCATCATTCAGACTAGAACTTGCACAGCATTCAGGGTTTGTTTGTTATTATGAAAACAGTTTTCTTACATTTGAAGATTTATGTACAGGATTTAAGCAGGGGTTGCTATGTATCATGTTAACCAATTTAAGCCAAGCCTTCTTTACTGAGGGTCTTATGTGTTTTTGAGTTCAGGGAACACAAAAACTGAATATGAAATTCATTTGTACTTCAAGAGCTTAGTGACAGAGTAATTTTCCTGAGTCTACAGAACTTGTACAAGTCATACACTTAAAAAAAACAGCTAAAATTAAGAATTTTATTGTACAACTAGTAAAGACCATCAAAAGTCATCTTTTAAAAAAATTTTGATCTATTTATATTGCTCCATATTTCACTGTTCCCTTTAAATAAGCTATTTAGTTTACTGTCATACCATCCTGAACTCAGAAGTTATGTCGGGTAGAGCCTTGTTAGTAACTGGATAGGGGGAAAATGATACTTTAATTGAATTTTCTCAGTTGTGGTACAAATGGTAGAGTGCCGTCCTAACAAGCTCTAGGTCCTGACTTTAAACTCTAGTTCTGCAAAAAATAAATAAATTACAAAGTTTTTCAAGTTTGTGCAAGGCTTATCCTATCCTAATATTATCACATTAGGATACTTTTCTCCAATAATATTAATATTAGAATGAAACTCAGTTTATCCAGAGCAAAAAGCAAACTCTTCATGGTCAGTGTGCTTTCTTGACATGCAAATTTTATAACCAATGAATACCTAACGATTACTTTTTTAAACAGTCAAAATCATAACCTCCACTAAGAAGTTACATTTTAGCCAGGTGCTGGTGGCTCACGACTGTAAATCCTAGCTACTCCGAAAACTAAGATCTGAGGATGGTGGTCCCAAACCAGCCTAGGCAGGAAAAATCCATGACATTCTTATCTCCAATTAGCAAGCAAGAAAACTAGAAGTGGAACTGTGGCTCAAATGATAAACCATCAGCCTTGAGAGAGAGAAAAAAAAAAAAAAACTAAGGGACAGGGCTGGGAAGGTGGCTTGGTGGTAGAGCGCTTGCCTTGCATGCATGAGGCCCTGGGTTCGATTCCTCAGCACCACATAAGCAAAAAAAAAAACAAAAAAAAAACTGAGGGACAGCACCAGGCCCTGAGTTCAAGCCCTAGTGCCATACTGGCACAAACAAACTCCCCACCCCCAAAACAAATAGGTCTGAGCTGTGGCACGAGGCGACTTGGACTCTAACTCTGCTTCCATTTCCCATGTGCCGTTAGCAGTATCTAGCTTCCCCATGCATGCCGCTTCCTCTTCTAGAAAATAAGAATGCTGTGGATTTAGATAGCCATCCTGTAAGTAAGCGTTCCATTTCCTGGCCCACAGCATTCTTTTAACTAGTGTTACTCATTATCATTAACGTCATTAACTTATTACCCCATCTTAAGACGCAGGCAGGGCCTGTGGAAGCAGGCTGGGGAGGAGAGGCTCGTGCCCACAGAAGTGCCGGAGAGCTCTGAGGACAGCTGGGGTGGAATTTCTACCCAACTGGATGCTGGTGTGTGGTCTTGTGACCTCTGCCTCTTTCCTTACCCTCCTGCAGCACAAGAGGCTGTGCCACACAGCCACAGCTGCGGGGTTGGGTGGAGCAAGCTGTGTGCTGCAGACCCAGCCACGCCCACAGCACAGCTGGCCCTGGCCACACAGGAACCTGGGAAGCGGCTGCCTGCTCCCAGCACCCTCTCTATTGCAGCAGAAGGCCACGACTGGCCTTCTCTGGCTCTTTGGAGGGATGACAACGTTAGCACAAATGGCCTAGTTCACATCAGGTAACAAGGAGCCTGGCCCTTCCAACAGAAATATCCCTCCCAGCCCATGGTGATGTAAGCAAAGGTGATTAATCACGTGACTAGGATGTCTCCCGGATTTAAAGAAGTTCAGGGCTGCAGAATCACACCAGTTCCCCGTGCCAAATACTAAATGCTCTCAGTATTGTAATTAAGAGGTGTGGCCACCAAAGACAGAAAAGAGAACTTTTAAAGGCAGTCTGAGGAAGTCATAAAGGGAAACATGCAGAATTCGGATGATATCGATGAATATCCCCAATCATCCTGCAGTGAAAGAATTTCCGAATTTATGCCACTTGGTAAAAGCTGTCTAAATTTCTGATCATTCTGACTGATTCAAATTCTACTTATTGATTGTAAGAGATGCACTCCTTTTTTTTAACATGTAATACATACATGTAGTGCTACTTCGGGACAGAATATGCATGTCCAAGTGTATCAAATGTAAGTTTGGTGAGTTATCATCTACATGCTAGAAGGAACTAGATTACTCATTCAGAAAAGAAGGTGGGATTGAAACCGACACAAGTTACTGTTTAAAAGTATATGGGTTTGAAAAGGAGACAACTAACCTATTGTATCCTATCAGATGTAAAATGAACAAAGGATGCGGAAAAGAGAGCTGGAGTAGGAAAATTTGTTCATTAATGAAACAGAGAGGCAGAGCTGTCTGAGCCGTGGAAAATAATTGCATAAAACGGTCAATAAAAGGATGAGAGCTGAAGAAAACTACTACTATTCAGCAGAATACTTTGTAGAATATGGTATTTTTCCACCTGGCTAATCTTTAGGGAAACACACTGGATACTGTTAGTCTGTCTTCAAATTCCTCTATGGATAAAACACACAGCTCTGAGTCCACACTGAACTGTGTATCCGACTCGGTATGTACAGTTCCAGCAACTCATTAGAGACCAAAGCCAGCACAAAGTGTAGCAACATGATGAGTGATTGTACAGTGTTTCACCAAAGCTAAGGCCAAAATGAGGATCACAGAAACAGTTTATTTTAGACTCTAATCCTATCTTTAAGACACAACTGAATCTAAACATGAATGTTTTACTTTGTTTTGCTGTGTTGCTAAGTTACTTCGTATTGTATTAGGAATTTGGAAGGGCTGTTTTGCAGTTTGCTCTTTCTTCAAATTGTATGATGTATACAAGTGGCAAGCTTTCCTAAAGACCTGTAGCCACAAATGAAATTCATAAACTATGACTATAAATGTCCTGTTTCTATTATGTAAATAGTTGGCCTTGCATGAGGTATCAAGTAATCTTTACAAGCTGGATGTTTAATATAGAAACACTGTAGCCAGACAACCTTATTTGCACTACAGCTTTAAACTGTGGATCTCTTCAGAATAGAAAAGTAACAGAGCTCAGTGAAATCTAAAATGTTAGTCTGTTGATTGTGTTTTGTTTTAGCATTATGTTTCCTGGCTTATTTCAAGCTTGCCTTTAAACATTCCCTTCCATTATATCGTTGTGGGTTAATAAAGCAGACAGAAATATCAAAGTTAAAAGCAAGCACAACAGCACTGATGAGCACCACAGCCAACCAATAATGAGGCCCGCTAGGGTCAGCGGGAATGTTAGTGTGATTCCGTCTCCCCAGTGCTAATGCTGTACAGACATTCTCATGGAGATGCTCAGACTTTAAAACCCAAATTCCCTTTTAATGTACACTGGTGCACTATCTTTCAGTTTCTGGATTTTGTTTTTCAAATATTAATGCCAAAACTATGTAACTTTTAGTTTCAAAACCTTCTGAGATGCTCCTGGTCGCATATTAGTTAGCAATATATTTAGCCACTAACTTTTTATTAGTCAAATTAGTAACTGCTTCCTGGAGGCCCTCTCCCTTCTCTCTCTCTTGAGTTCAGGGGCATGGATGCTGTCCCTGAGCTTTTTCACTCAAAGCTAGTGCTCTACCACTTTGAGCCACAGCACACTTTCGGTTTTCTGGGGGTTAACTGGACATGAGTTTCTTGGACTTTCCTACACGGACTGACTTGGAACTGCAAGCCTCAGATCTCTGCCTCCTGAGTAGCTAGAATTGCAGGCATGAGCCACCAGCACTCAGTACACCCTCCCAAGGTTTGTGTAGGCATACAAAGAGGACAAATGATAATCTTCTACAGTCTGCCTCCTGAGCTAAAAGTACTACATATGCAGAAAAAAACAACTGTGTTAAAACAATCATCTGGTTGTTATTATAACTGCATCTATATTCCAACAGTGTTTAAATATTTTGAGCATTTGCTATGTGCAAAACACAGTAGTACATGCTTTCTGCATCTCTACTCATGTAAATCATCTTAAATAATGAAGTATTAACCCTATGACCCTATTCTACAAAGTAGGGACATTACACAGCCTGCCTAAAATCACTCAACTGTAAAGAACAGAGTAATTTACACACCAAGGCAGTGTGAGTAGAATTATAGATGGTCATATGAAGGCGTCTGGGTTAGAGAACCCAGGGAGAGCTGAGGGTGGTGGCTGATGGCTGTAATCCCACACATTACCACGATCATGAGATTCACGCCAGCCTGCACTACATAGTGAGACCCTGTCTCTAAAAGAAAAGATACAAAGAGCACTGAAAAGAAGGGAGACACTGGTTAAAATAAGTAGAGATTTTGTTTTAAGAAAGGAAAAGCACACCTCAGTTAAAAATGTATTCACTTGAAAATTTTTACTGAGTGGGGAGGGGTCTGGGAATGTGGCTTAGCAGCAGAGTGCTTGCCTAACATGTACCAAGCCCTGGGTTTGATTCCTCAGCACCACATAAACAGAAAAAGTTGGAAGTGGCACTGTGGCTAAGTGGTAAAATGCTAGCCTTGAACAAAACAAAGAAGCTCAGGGACAGTGTTCAGGCCCTGAGTTCAAGCCCCAGGACTGACAAAAAAAATTTATTGGGATTATTAGCCAAGCCCTGGCTGGGGCCCCTAAAAATCATATTAACACATACTCATATATATATATATATATATGTATATATATATATATATATATAATGTCTCATATATATTACACAGTACTAAGTAACACAGTACTAAGCTTTCATGAATTTAGTAATGAATGGTTACATATTCGCTATTTATAAAATCATCTTAAGCCAGGTGCCAGTGGCTCACACCTGTAATCCAAACTACTCAGGGAGCTGAGATCTAAGGATCATGGTTCGAAGCCAGCCTAAGCAGAAAAGTCCCTGTGAGACTCTTATCTCCAATTAACCACTCAAAAAACTGGAAGTGGCGCTGTCGTTCAAGTGGTAGAGTGCTAGCCTTCAGCACAAAGAAGCTTAGTGACAGCACCCAGGCCCTGAGTTCAAGCCCCACAACCAAAAAAAAAAGAATAAGATCATCTTAGCTTATAACATTTAACCCTTGTAACATCTGAAAGATGAATGGATATTTTACATATTTATAATATCTGTCTATATATTTACATACATGTATATGAGAAAATGTCAAAACTTAAATTCAAGTTCATATTTAACTCATATTTGCTTGTTCAAATTCAAGATTAAAGTTTGAATTTAATCTACATTATTTATTTTTATAACCAATACATTATTAGTTAACATAAACTTCTCTTGTGTATCCTCTGAGTTCCACAAGAAAAGAAAAGCTAGATAGATCCAGACTATATGCATTTGATCACTCAATAAGCAGAGCAGGTTATAAAGAAACTTTCTCCCATGTCTGCTCTTTTTACAAAACTAAACGTGTACTTTCTTATCCTCAACCTCAAGAGCAAATCATGGATATATGTGTTAGTTTGATAAAACATCTGAGATAAAACAGTAGAACTTAATATTCAAGCTAAGACTTTGTCATCTGTGTTCTTTTTTTTTAATTAATAAGTTTTTTAAATTGTGAAAATACCGTACAGAGGGGTTACAATTACATGAGCAAGGTAATGAGTACATTTCTGCCTCCTCCTGTGTGTCCCCTTACCATCCCTGTCCTCCCATCCCCCCACAAGGTTGTAAAGTTTGTTTTTCGACATAACGTCTTGTACATCTCATTGTTGCAATGGGTTCACCTGTATCCCTAGTTAAACTATTGGTTTTTTTCCTTCCTCTCCACAAAATATGCCAACATCAAATACATTGAAAACAGGGGTTATACCGTGGGGGAGGGACATACAAAGCAACAAAAAAATCATTTTATAAATATGTTAGAAACAATAGCAAGAAAGAAAAATCGTTTTAGTCCTTATCTTAGGGTTCATTTCTCCTAACATCACCTTATCTGACCGTTTCTGCTTGACTCAGACATAGACTAGATATTGCAAATAAGGGAAAACATGGGACCTATGTTTCTTTGGGCCTGGCTTACTTCACTTAATATAATTTTTTCCAAGTCTTTCCATTCCTAACAAATGGGGCAATGACATTCTTTCTGATGGAGGCATAGAATTCCATTGTGTAAATATACCACATTTTCTTGATCCATTCATCTACTGAGGAGCATCTGGGTTGGTTCCATATCTTAGCTATGGTAAATAGTGCTGCAATAAACATAGTTGTGCTGGTAGCTTTAGTGTGGTCTTGTTTGTGATCATTCAAGTAAATGCCCAGAAGTGGGATTGCTGGGTCATAGGGGAGCTCTATGTGGAGTCTTTTGAGGAACCTCCATACTACTTTCCAAAGTGGTTGAACAAGTTTACACTCCCACCAACAATGCAGTAAGGTTCCCTTCTGTCCACATCCCCTCCAGCATCTGTTGTTATTAGAGTTCTTGATTCTAGCCATTCTAACTGGGGTGAGGTGGTATCTCAGTGTTGTTTTGATTTGCATTTCTTTTATAGCTAGGGAGGTTGAGCATTTCTTCATGTGTCTATTGGCCATCCTTCTTTTAAGTTTCAGGGAGTATGAGAGTGGGTTTTATTACTAGTGGCACACTGACTTGTTATGAAATCATAAGTAGGACCATAGCTGTGGTGCTTCTTGGTGGTAGTGACTTTGCACAGCAGCTAATATGTCTTTCCCTGATGTGTCTCACAGGGCCGTGTCAGCTGTACTGGACGGCTAATGGTGCAGGCTGTCAACCAAAGAGGTCGCAGTCCACGCTCGCCCTCCGGCCATCCTCATGTCAGAAGGTATTTCAGATGTCCTTTCCCGTGGGTGTTTCCAGTTAGTACTACTAGATTCATGGTGTGACCATGAAGGTGAACATAAGTGGGAGGTAGACTGTAAATACAAACTCGGGTGTGTAGTGCATGTATTAGCCCCTTTGCAATTCGGAAAAGGAAGGGGTCAAACATTTGCCAATCTATGCCATGACTGTTCAGATACACTGTCATTAGTTAAGTAGGCTCATATTTCACACCTGAAGAAACCAAGATGTGGCACCTTACAGATGAGTAAAAGCCTGGAAATAACTAGTATATACTTATTTACCATCATGTATCTTGTTTTAAGGCCTCGATCTAGATCAAGAGACAGTGGGGATGAAAACGAACCAATCCAGGAGCGATTCTTTAGACCACACTTCCTGCAGGCTCCCGGAGATCTGACTGTTCAAGAAGGGAAACTCTGCAGAATGGACTGCAAAGTAAGCTTGGACTGCCTCAAAACTACTGCCTCACTCCCACCCGCCACTGACATTGCTCTATAGTTCCTATTGGGAACATTATGTAAAGGATGTGATGATTCCAAGGGGGTTGGAGATGTGGCTTGGTGGTAAAGTGTTTGCCTAGCATGCATGAGGCCCTGGGTTCAATTCCTCAGTACCACATAAAGGAAAAACAACTCAAGATAAGGGGTGAAATGTGCTCAAAGTGTATGTGCAGTTTTTCTTAAATCATGCTTTCTCTTTACTTTTAAGTATATATTAATATGTTATCTACCCTGAAGGCTACAAACAAACCATATTCCAGAAACCACTGGAAGGTTTTACTTGTCCCTTTTTCACTTTGTTGAAGAAATGGGTGTTTTGAATGTGTTCTAATCATTTGGTGATCACTTTATTAGATGATCTTTATTATATCTTCAACATAAAATGATATATCATTGTACTACTCTTTATTCCTCCCATTTTCTAATTATAAAAGAAGAGCAATGTTCTTTCATCTATTTTTTTCAGGGGGGGGCATGGAACAGTGTTTTAGGTGTATAAACTCTGAAGTTATATGCAAAATTTTATGTGTTATAATTTGCATCAATTTCTCAAGATAACATGCGGCCACAATGTTTCAGAACCATTGCTATGAGGTACTTTTACTTCCTCGGTTTTTTGTTTTGTGTTTTTTTGGGGGGTTCCAGTTGTGGGGCCTGAACTCTGGGCTGGTCGCTGTCCCTCAGCTCTTCAGCTCAAGGCTAGCGCTCTACCACTTGAGCCACAGCGCCACTTCCAGCTTTTTTTTCTTTTTGCTTATATGGTGCTGAGGAATCGAACCCAGGACCTCATGCATGCAAGACAAGCGCTCTACCACTGAGCCACCTTCCCAGCCCCTGTTTTTTTTTTCTTTTTTTTTCAAAGTTCTGCTCTTAAAAATCGGGCCTTTTTTAAACACAATATTTGGGCTCCCTCTGCTGGTCCTCAATGGGATTGTAAATCTGGGTTTCTAGAAGAATACAGAAAAAAAAATATTCTTGAAAATATCTTATATCCCAAAAGACATTTTAATTCACCTGTTCATAATAGCGTTATTAAAAATACCCAATATATCTGTCTATAAACAGATAAGTTATGTCTATCAACACTAAAATTATTTTAAATGTGCACAATCACTATTGAACACTATAGTAAAGGAAATTCTGGCATTTGTGACAATTTAGATGAATTTGGAAGACTATATTAAATGAAACAATCTAGGCACAAAAGGACAAATACTGCATGACTTCACTAATATACAGAATATAAAAATGTTCAACGTTTAGAAGCAAAGATATTGGACAGTGGATACAAAATTTCAGTTAGTATATGCTCAAGAAATCTGTACTACAACATGGCGACTATAGTTAATGATCATGTATTTATACATAACTGGGTGCCGGTGGCTCACACCTGTAAATCCTAACTACTCGAGAGGCTGAGACTTGGGAGGATGGAAGTTTGAAGCCAGCCAAGCAGAAAAGTCCTCAAGGTTCCATCCTGAATTAACCAACAAAACACCAGACTGGAGGCATGGCTTCAGAGATAGAGTGCTAACCATGAGTGAGCAAGCTGAGTGATAAGCACAACCCTGAATTCAAGCCCCAGAACTGGCAATAATAATAATAATAATGAATTAATTGATTGTATTCTTGAAAGTGAATAGATACTATTCTTCACTTGATATTGAATCTAGTGGAAATTAACTCTTCTAACCCCTTGGGTAGCAAGCAGGTCTGCTCTTCTCCCTCCTGCGTGTCTATGTGTGCCTTGAGCACACACAGATCTGCTCAAAGTGTGACTGGCTTGTGCTGACCTTCAGCTGCTCCTAAAATGGCCTTTGTCCATGACTAGAGAGAGCAGACATCTTCCTTTTGCCTGAACATGAAGAACTCTACCCAGTGGAATAGGTCCATGGTGAATTTGTTGTTTTGGAAGTGTCCAGGGTCTTGAGCTATCTGTCCCAATAAGAATACTGTGGTCTCTGTCAGTAGTGGTCTTGCTTATTCAGGGCCTACCCTAGTCAATGAGGAATAGCACTGCCCCTAGTCTTGGGACCAGCCTAGACCCCCAACCAGAAATGGTGCCTGTCCATGCCACTTCGAGTGCCCACACACGGGGAGAGCAGCGCGTGTGGAGAGCCAGAAGCGCAGCACATGGACAGCCTAGCGTCTAAGGAGCTGCTGTCTCACTACTGTTGTTTCTAGAATTTTATCCTTTTAGCCCACAATTTAAGTGTACTTAAATTTTTTTTCTTTGTATATACCTTGTAGGTATATAAATGAATAAACATCACATAACAGGAATGGAATTCGAGAGTTCTCTGGCTGATTTAGGCAAAGCTAGTCCTTCAAAGGAATGAGTTCATAGTCTAACAGACATCCTTTGTATATAATTTCCCACTAGTAAAGTTGGAGAACAGAGAGGTAATAAAGCCTTCCTTCACAGAGCTTTTCTCCTGCTCAAAATCAAGGGCAACACTATTTAAAAAACAAAAACAAAAAACTCAGCAGATGGCAACTTCCCCCTCTCCCCTCCCCCAGCATAACGTGTCATTAGCAATTAAATATCCTTTTGTCTCATCTCTGGTCAACACAACTGTCATGGTCTTAAGATTTTATGAGGTTCCATTGTGATGCTAATTTGTTGCGATGGCTTGCTGGGTAATTTCATATTGTTGTTATGCAGTGTCAAGCATTATAAAATAATAATAATAATAGCTCTGTGTGCTAATAGATGCATTAACGAATATCTCCATAGCAATAGTCACTCCTCCATGAGGAGCTTTATAATATATTCCTATGCCAGCTAAGCGTTTGTTATTGTTATTATAGCTGGACATTCTTTTTATTTCCAGAGCTCGGAGCCCCATGCTGACATCATTCCGGGAATTTTTATAGCTCTGGGTGGGATGAGACGATGATAGAAAGTGTTGGTTTTTTTTTTTTTTAAACTCCAGTTCACTCATCTCTACTTTGTTTTGTAAATGTTCAGAAATGGATAAGAGTGCTTAGGAAAACCATGGGAAGGTTATGCACAAAGAATAATAGAAGCTGGTATTTTTAAAGCCATCTCTCCTGCTTGTATGCCAGGTTCTTAGCTATCAGTGTTACCACTGTTTTTCTGCTGGAGAAATTTACATTGAATTCCTCTCTGGTGTAGGTCAGTGGGTTACCAACCCCAGATCTAAGCTGGCAACTAGACGGAAAGCCAATACGCCCGGACAGCGCTCACAAGATGCTCGTTCGTGAGAATGGGGTGCACTCGCTGATTATAGAGCCAGTCACGTCTGGAGACGCCGGCATCTACACATGTATAGCCACCAACAGAGCAGGACAGAACTCTTTCAGCCTGGAGCTCGTGGTTGCTGGTAAGCTCCTCTACAAGTCCATTCCCATTCCCACACTGAAAGTCAGATTATACACACCAACTAATTCTGCATCACCCACCAATATGGAAAATAAATCAAGTTTGAGGACCTGTTAGAAGGCTGCAAACTAGATGTACTAACTTTTCTTCCTCGAGTGCAACCATTATTATTTCTCTTTCCTTACTCCCACTGACCCAGCAAAGAAGGGGTATGGTTTGGCTTGTGGAGGTCTTCTGGCTTCTCGTATATATGTGATGGGCCCAGGATTACGTAGGTAAAGAGCAGCAAAGGCTCCTAGAACTGAAGGTTATACTTACACATAGCTTGCTGTGCAGACTCAGTTTTTAACAGTGCTTTCAAAACTTTTAAGCAACATAGTCCCAATCTCAGAGTCCAATTAAAATGAGATTTGCTTTCTAATTGGTGATTGGGAAATTGTGTAAGTGTTTATATAATACTATACTCTTTGAGGAACCTAAATGGAAAATATACTTATGGAAAAGTTTCTGCCATCCTTAGAAAGATGCCTAAGATTCTGACTGTCTGATCTCTTTCTTAAAAGGTGGCATACCAAAACATCATACTTATTTGTTGTGCCTGTTTGCACACTTACGCATATTATCTGTCAGCCCTCACAGAGACCACATAATCAGGTTCCCCATTTAGTAAGCTGAGGAGAGAACTCTGTTGATCTCTAGTGTTCTTCCAAACACTGAACTTGTTCGAGAAGAGTTTTAATGAAAATAAAACCAGAGTCCTTGGCTCTACAATCCTGGATGATGATTCTATCAATGGAACCAAGATGGTTTTCACACCAAAATGTGGCAGCTGTGTACACTGCAGTGTTACTTTAGCCATGTTTTTAAGTGTTTTGAAAAGTACTTCATATTCCTCCCAATTTCTTTCATTCACTCATTCCTCTAACTTCAAACTAAAGCTATTTGTTTTTCTCCTATTAAATTGTACCTCCTGACTTTATCCATCCTCAGAACTCAGACCTGAGGGCCCAAGCCACACAGACACACCTGTATGTCTCAGCCCTTGATCAGCAGATAGCAGTGCAGCATGAATTTGCCATTGGCTCTTATTCCAACACTAGTGCATGTCCACTAGCTATGTGACCTTCAGCAAACACGTATGCAAAACGGGGATTATAATGCATCTCAGCATTTTTATGAGGATTAAATCATAAAAAATGTGTGAAGCTCAGTACCCTGTACCCAGTACCCTGCTTAGCAGTACTTCAAGATGGTGCTACTCTGATTGATGAGTTGTTACAACTTAAACACTCTTTTTATTCCTTTCAAAACTAAAACCTAGAAAGACTATAACTTGAACTTTTGTTCCCATTCTCCCAAATACCCTAAGTCAGTAAGTAAAATTTAATAAAAATACAACCCTCTGCATAAGTCAAGGTACTAGGGAGAGTCTTAGGCATCTGAAAATGGTAGAATGTTTTTCCTCTTTGAAATATCTGCCAATTGTTTATTGTGTCCTCAAATGCATTGCTTGATAGCTCAAAAGAGAATTAAACCTTATACAGTCTTAAGAAGTCATTTTTACCACTAAGACGAGAAAAAAAATTTCCCATTGGGTAATAATATTCACTGTGATTAGAAGTTATTAATAAGATTTCCCTAAGTAAAAAGCTGTGCTTTTGAATGGCTTCTTTCGTGTGTGTGTGTGTGTGTGTGTGTGTGTGTGTGTGTGGTGTCCAATATATATGTTTTCTTTTGAAGAATACCAACTGAAATTTAAATGTATCAGATACATATCGGCGTTCATAGGTCACTGTTTAAAGAAGAAGAAAAATTTAGACAAAGTGCTTTAAAACCTTTTAAAATTTCAATCGAGAGTGACAAACGTGCAAAATTTTCAAAGCAAATACTTTTGAGTGTTTGAGTGACAGTAAAGAAATCACAGTGGATCGGCCCTAGACATACTTGTCCTTCCCCAAATCATCACTAGGTGGCAGGATTGCAGAGGCTGCATGCATGGTATGCAGATGCTAGCTGTGACTTAGAAATCTGCAGCCTGTCAGGCATTCCACACAACAGATGGTCAGTGAACTGTGTAGGCCCATCAGCCTTGAATTAATTGAGGAAATATCAGATGAGTGGAATGAAGCATACAAACCTTTGTTTGGTAAGAGAAGAAACGGACAGACTATCTTACCACCTGAAGTGAAAAAGGGTATCATAAAATAAAGAGAGCTTTTCAAGCACTATTTCTAAAGGCTCCTGAGTTCTTTGTGATGCTCTTTTTGTGTATCACTGATAGATAATTCGTCTCGTGTTTTCTTAGCTAAAGAAGCACACAAACCCCCTGTGTTTGTTGAGAAGCTACAAAACACAGGAGTTGCTGATGGCTACCCTGTGAGACTGGAGTGCCGGATTGCAGGTGTACCACTGCCCCAGATATTCTGGAAGAAAGAAAATGAGTCACTCACTCACAGCACTGACCGAGTAAGGTAAGAGACACACAGTGTCTCCACCTCACCTCTAACTGCTACACTGTGTGGATCCTAATGAAGAGCAAAAAGAAATGTGTACAGATGCAAATCAGTGTGTAAAAGTCATGTGTTTGGTATATCAAAAACAGTTTTATCTCTTTACCCAAATGTAGAATGAAGCTTTTAGAAGGCAGCTATATTTGGTAGCTGATAACAGCAAATTCTGACTTAACCTGAGAGTGTTTTCATTTAAGTGTTTCTATCAAAAAAGAACAGATAGAATCAGTTGCTGTGATGGCTTCTGTAAAGGCAGGTCGTCCACTAAGAATCCATGCACTGATGTATTTATTCAACCTCTCCACGGCTATTCTTCTCTCCCATTAACTTTCATGGGCTGGCAGCCTCTCTAGAATAAGTATGGCCCTATTATCTGTCTGCTACTTGCACAGTTCTGTTCCTAATGACCTAATTAAAAATGATGCTTCGTGTCTAAAAGCACTTTTTAAAAATTTAGAGCCCTAATGGCTTTATCCTTTTCTCTAGCATGCACCAGGATAATCATGGCTACATCTGCCTGCTCATTCAGGGAGCCACAAAAGAAGATGCTGGATGGTACACTGTGTCAGCCAAGAATGAAGCAGGGATTGTGTCATGTACTGCCAGGCTGGACGTTTACAGTGAGTGCACGTTTGTTGCATTTATTCATTGAATTATGAAAAATCACACAACTGGACAGTAAAGCATGCTACTCTTATAAACAACTATAGGACTTTATATCTTATAAAAAGGTATATGTAAGCTATATCTCATATCTTTTATCTTATAAACAACTACAGAATTCTATTTGCCAAAAAAAATTCATATTGTTCTTTTTCTTTCTATTTGTAGTTTCTCGCCATTAATAGTGAAACCCTACCAGGAGAACAAACACCCAAGTATCATTCAGGAACTCTGAATTAGTAGCAAGATATGCATGTTGATTTCTGTTACATTGGCTAGTCAGTTGTGGCTTCCTAATTCCTGAGCAGTGAGCGGTAGACAAAGACCTAAGTGTTTTTCACCTTTCCTGATTACTGTGTTTTGCCAGTAACTGTTTTTTTTAACATGTTTTCTTATATTATACTCATTTTCAGTGTCCTAATATACTCTAAACGTGTGTACCACTGATGCTAGAATGCATTCTTTTGTGGCTTAATGCTTTTCTTATTTGTACATCTTCAGCAGCTCGGCAGTAGATTTGTGTATGGGTGTGCATATATGTGTACATGCATCCTAAATTATAAAAAGGAAACTATTCCTACTGAATTTATAGACTGACCATTTATCCTCTGACACAAGGAAACCACTAGAAAAAGACTGAAAACTATTTTCAACTTTGACCTCCTCTTTACAAGAAAAGAGAAGAACTAGCCCTGTGAAGTTCTGATCAGGCCCTGAATTCAGGACCAAGAAAAAAATCCTAAATTTTGTGAAAACTGATATGCCTAATATGCCTGTCTGTATTTGAAACATCTCAGACTTTCCAAGTATATCTCTGTCAAAATCTTAAATATATTCCTTTCCTTTGCAGCCCAGTGGCACCAGCAGCCACAGACCACCAAGCCAAGAAAAGTACGGCCCTCAGCCAGTCGCTATGCAGCACTTTCAGACCAGGGGCTAGACATCAAAGCCGCCTTCCAGCCTGAAGCCAACCCATCTCACCTGACACTGAATTCTGGCTTGGTAGAAAGTGAAGACCTGTAAACCTGTTAAAGCTGAGATGCGGAACAGCCATTGCTTTGACCAATGTAGTCCTGTCACATTAAGTAAAATTGACTTATAAGAAATTTTTTGAAACCACCAAAATAATATCTTTTCTTGATAGAGAGCTTAAGTAGATGAGGCTTATAAAAAAAAAATGTACACATTGCACAGAAAAAGTCACACCATGTTTTGTCCAATTCAAAACATTTGGGATTGCTGTGATTCAAGTGGTCTGAAATGCCAAAATGCTAAAGGAAATCAGTTATCCCAAGGTAGCCATGATTTATATTATCGACAAGTGCCTTTCAACACAAGCTCTGGGTGCTATGTGGCATGGTGGGATGCAATGTTTAAGGTGACGCAACGATGACTCTACAGTGCAGGGTGGAGACCGCAAGTGCAATAGGGAAGAGGGACTGCTGGAGAAAGCCAAGAAAATGCCTTGTCTTTGCAAACTATTTTATATTCAACCATAAGGACGCCTTCAGTGTTATTCATACCCTGAGTTTTCTAGTGAGGTGAGTCGCCTTATTCTTCACCTCTTTTGTGTAGTACTTTCTTTTCATGCTGCCTTGATAGGAAGCTTCTTCACAATCCCTATTCAAAGGCTAATTTAAATAATTAATATAAACAATTCTGAATAAAACAGAACTGTATTGCAGTCCATTCCACAAGAGGCCTCAGGACCACCCAAACGACCACGGTGCATAGTATTTGGTGGCAATGAGTTTGGAAGGAGTCGGAAGGAGCTGAAGGCCAAAGCTACCAGCACAATTATACTGTAGCCATGTGGAGAAAAGCAGAAGGGGCAGGAGACGTGGCAGAGGCCAAGCTTTTCTTTGGTTTTCTTCAAAATTAACCACAAAATAAGATTTAAAAAAAATACTGCCATCCAAAGGTCAAGGAATCTAGGGTAAGCTGCAGGTTTGGCACAGAGGGCAGTGGATCTGAAATGTGGGTAGTCGCTGAGGAACTGGGACGAGTAAAGCAAGTTGAAAATGGGCTGAGACTGTAAGAGTGGCAGTAGTGAGAGACTGCCTGTAGTCCACTCGAGGGAAATGGACACTTAAGGAGAGCCAGAAACTGGTTGGTGCTATATGTCTTTCCCACTGGCACTAAGATACAATGGATGGAAATGAGGACTTCACTTCGCTTCTCTGCGGCCCTGAAACCTTGCCTTATGAAGGTGCTGGGTGCTGAGTAATTTTTTTAAGGCATCTCTGCTTTTTTGAATGTGTATGATTCATCAGCTTTATACTGAATTTGATTCTGACCAGACTTGATGGTTTTAAGTCGGAAGCAATAAAACTCTTGGAAGAAAAAAAAAAATAATTTGGCCAACTAGACTAAAACATGAGGCCTTAATGGTACTTTGCTATGGAAAGAAAACACTGTATTCCTTACGCAAAACACATATATAGCTTTCATTATTTATAAGTGTTGGACTTTCTTAGCTCAGTTATTCAATTCATATGTATTTTTTAAAATAATTTTATAACTGTAACCACCCCATATATTTCATATTACAGCTTCACATGTACAACTTTCTATTTCTTTTTAAGAACACCAACCGAGTTTTAAGTGATAAATAGGCTTGAGCACAGGGTGGCAGATTTTCTATGCAGCGTGGTACAAGTTTCTTTGACCACAATTATATTCATTGCTAATATGGAACTTAAGATACCATAGAGAGTCTCATGGACTTAGCTATATTGTAGAATTATGACTTCTCTGTCATATCTTACTTGCCAAATTTGTCTGAATGTGACTTTTTTTTTTTGCTAATTTGTTGGGTTGGGGATTAACTAGCATTACTTTGCCACCTTTTATGTTATATTTATATAGATAGATAGATAAAGTGCTATCCTACTACTTTGGATTGTTGTGCTGGTGTAATGTGGATTTAACATCAATAAATATTTAACAAATAATAGTTGCAACCTTGTCAAGCAAAAGACCAAGTTGTTTTAATTTTCTATTGTTACTGTAATAAATTAGCAAAAAAAAAAATCTTTCAAGAGACTTCAAACATCATTTTGTGATCATAGTTCTGTAGACCAAATGTCTGGCCATGATATGGCGGGTTCTCTGTGCACTCACTGTACTGGGAGGCTAAATGCACAATGTCAAGTGCTGCACTCATGGCAGAAGCTCAAATGGTTGTGATAAAGTTCAGTCCTATGCAATAGAAGGACTCATTGAGCCTCAGCCAGAGTCTGCTCCCTACCCTTAGGGCCACAGGTCCTCCTTGCCGTGTAGCTGCCCCCTCCATCTTCAAAGGCGGTAATGACAATCGCCCTCAAGTCTGATCCGCCTCCCACCTGAATTCTCTTCTGTCAAGTCTCGGGCCCCTTCTAAAGACAGAGCTGATCATATCAGTCCCGCACAGATAATCTCCCTTCTGTACAGTCTCCAAATTTTGAACCTTAATAGTTAATATCTTAATAATCATATCTTAGTAATTATATCCTTAGTAAGTATATCCCTTCAAAGCAAAACTGATTAAATGACCAAGAGGAGGTACGTGTGTGTAGGACACAAGGTAAGGATACTGAGTGCCAGCTTAGAATTCTGCCTCCCCTATCAGTTTGTTGTAGGAACACATACAAATATGTATATTAGGTTAGCCAGTGACATGATTACAGGGTACATGAAATATAGCAACATGTCAATTAAAAGAAAAGCACATTCATTGAACAAGGAATAAATGAGGCTACCCATACACATACACTCAGGTGCATTTATGCTCATGGCATTCATATCTAGATAACTGCAACAGGTGGACAATACATTCAGCCCTAAGATATTCTGCTATAGGACAGGAGGGAGACGACGCTAGTGACTATAATTCACAACCTCCATTGACTGAAAATACCTTTATCTTTTACATAAGCTATATGATGGAGCTTTGAGGAAACACTTCAATTAGACCAGAAATGTGCATTTCTGGTCCCCTATACTGTATGAGTTCCATGTATATACAATATTTCATTATTTACATTAAAATTTATCTAATTAAAAAGTTTGCCTTGGCTGGGTGCCAGTGGCTCACACCTGTAATCCTAGCTACTCGGGAGGCTGAGATCTGAGGTCCACAGTTCAATGCCAGCCCAACAGGAAAATGAGACTATTATCTCCAATTAACCACCAGAAAACAAGAGGTGCCTCAAAGTGGCACTTGAGCCCCCAAAAAAAAAAAACCGCAGGAACAGTGCCCAGGCCCTGAGTTCAAGCCCCACGACCAATAACAACAACAAACTTGCTGCTATACTACAAGTGACTTCCTTTGGTTTAATTCCTTTGGGGGAGTTTCAAGGTCAACTCCTGGAGAAGTTCTTCAAGTATGATTCCCTAGGCTATTAGGAACTTACTAGAAATAGAAAATCTTGAGCCCTTCCCCACCCTTCTGAATGAAACTCTGTACAGACCAGCATCTAAATTATAATAAGCCTTCCTGATGACCCTGACACACACTATAGCTCAAGAACCATTGCTGTATGAAGTTCAGTATCCTGACTCTTTCCTTAGTGCATGTATCCACTATGTTCTCAAAGAACGTCAAAAAGAATCTCTATAGGGTGCGTAATAGTCCTCCTGCAGCATAAGGACCATTGCAGTTGGCCTTTTATAGTTGTCTCATGAGACTAAATAGACTTAGGCAGTCTTGTCCACTGCCAATGAGACAATTTTCAAGAGGCCTCAGGAATTTTCTTGATTTGCTGAATTAAGTGATTTATTGCTTATTATTATTATTGATTACTGTTCAGCAGTATTACAAGTATGCAGGATTACGTCACCAGAATCTTTCCAATGTGGAAAAGGATTATTGGAGCATGACACAAACCCTATGCATAACCCATGAAAATACTGTGTTCTCTCAAAATTAAAAAAGCACTAGAGAAACGTTTATTTAAATGGCACCACTGGGACATCAAGCTTTAAGCTCCACCATGTTCCCAAACAACAAAAACAAACTTAGAGATTTGTACTTGTTTTAAATACATAAATCCAAAAGAGGAAAAAAAAGGCAAACTTCTAAAAGGAAAATTGTAAGAGATGAGCCATACTAGAAAGTAGATGGAAGTTTGGCATTAACTTATAGTAGACACACAAATGATGAAATGTAGCCAGCAATGGAGACAACTGAAATACAATCCAACTTCCACAACAGAGTTCATAAAAGACAAACTAGAAGTATTTGGCACTTCCACCAATCAAAGTGAGGGCAACACTGAAACAGCAATTGGACTCCATCCTCTCCTATACCCTGTGCAGGAGACTGAACTACCAAGCACAAGGCTCCTGGAATGACAGATCAGGATCGGGTGATTACAGAACACTGTGCCACTAGCAGGGAAAAAGGGAGTGGCTCAGCTTTTTCCCCCGCTATGGGCTCCAAACTACCAACAAGAGACTGATGGTCAGCAATGTGGACAGTCAGCATTCCAGGCAGGAGACTTCTCTGAGCAATGCAACCAGCTCAGTACAAAAGCAGCTATGACATTTGTTCTCAAAGTGGTCCAGGAACCCCTGAGAGAATGAATGAGCAAGCAAGGTCAAATCTATTCTCAAAGTGGTAACACAATACCATTTGCCCTTTTTACTTTTGTTCTCATAAAAATACTATTACGCTTCCATTATTTAAAAAAAATTGCTATCTGGGCACCGGTGGCTCACACCTGTTATCCTAGCTACTCAGGAGGCTGAGATCTGAGGATCACAGTTCAAAGCCAGCCCAGGCAGGAAAATCCATAATACTCTTATCTCCAATTAACCACCGGAAAACCAGAAGTGGCGCTGTGGCTCAAGTGGTAGAGTGCTAGCCTTGAGCTGAAGAGCTAAGGGACAGTGCCCAGGCCCAGAGTTCAGGGCCCACGACGGACAAAAAAAAAGAAAAACAAATTGTTATTCCTAAAAATTTATCTCCCACACTCCTTTGTTCAGAAGGTTGCTAGAAAATGTGCTCTTCCAATGAGGGCATAAACCTGGAAACATGGGGCTGGGGATGAAGCTCAATGACAGAATACTTGCCTAGAATGTAAAGGTCCTGGACTCAATCCCAGCTCTGTAAATAAAAGCAGCAGCAGCATCCAAGAATAAGAAAGGAAATCCATAGAATGGAGGCCAGGAGAGTCAGGCGCTGGTGGCTCACACCTGTAATCCTAGCTACTCAGAAGGCTGAGATCTGAGATCTGAGGCTTGCCATTTGAAGTCAGCAGAGTAGGAACATCTGTGAGACTCTTATTTGGCAATTAACTACCAAAAAGCCAGAGCTGGGGCTGGGGCTCAAGTAGCAGAGTGTGCATAAAAGCTGAATAGCACCCAGGCCCTGAGTTCAAGCCCTAGGACCAGCACAAAGAAAAGGGAGATAGACAGACAGAGACAGAGAGACAGAGAAATACAGAGAGAAACAGAAACAGAAGAGACAGGAAAGAGAGAGAGAGAGAGAGAGAGAGAGAGCCCACACAATAACTGTGAAGCAGAGCTGGAGAAGAGTCAAGAATGGAGCAGCCTGGAGACTCTGAAGACCTGAAGGATTTATTCAAGATATGGAATTGATGTATTACCTAATGTTTCTGAATATACTAAAAGAATAGTTGCATCACTGTTTGAGATTAACAAATTAGTGTTGATAATATAGTTACATCCTAATTAGGGGACTGTGGGGTGTGTGCTGATCACAGCGGAATCAGTCCTCAACTCCTTAGTGGGAAGTCAAAGATGAGGCCTAATTCTCAAAAATCTAGAAAAATGTACATTAGAATTAAAAAGATTAATGCCAGGTAAACCCAAGATTAAAGTGATTCTCTCTGAGGAATGGGAAATGACTGTTAATAAAACTGCTAAATAGAAGAACTGAATTTACACAATGTAAAAAAAGATGGGGATTCCCTGAGCTATATACTCTTGCAAGACAGCGTAATTATTTTTCAGATTGCAGCTTAGGTCCTTTTCTGATTTTTTTTTAAGGCATACACTGCGGGGGGGGGGGGCTCACTCCTACTATAGCTCTTTCCTATCCCCACTCCCCCTTCTTACATCAACAGGTTTCATTACTCTATTTTCCTTCCTCTGTGTTCATTACTCTATTTACTCTGAAAATAGAGCGAATGACTACATGGATCGTATTTATCCTCATTCGCTCTCTTTGTTGTGGGCACCAACCCCCTCCCCCCTCCCATTTAAGCTTGTTTGCCATTTTTTTTGGTATGTATTAATTGCATCAAGAGTTCACTAGGATATTCTACACATAAATATACTACATTTTCTGCAGAGTAATTGCTTTTTTTCTGCCCCCATATTTTTTTTCAAAAGTTCTCATAGAGGTTTCTTATGCCATCTTTATGCCTTGTATTTCAAATTTATTTACCTCCATCTCTCTTAATCCCCTGCTCCTATCCTCCTATATCCTAATAATTAGAATCACGATCTCTGTGTGAATAGGTATTTTGCATCTATGTATGTCTGTGAATATGTCCACATCTAAGCAAAAACATCACTACAGTAGGCTTTTTGAGGTTGGTTTTTCGGTCAACATGATATTCTCCAATTCCTTCCATTTGCCTGCAAATGAGAGGATTTCATTTTCTTTATGGCTGTGTATATATCTACCTCATCTTTATCCATACCTCTGTTGTTGAGCACCTTGGCTGGTTCAACCACACTGGGAACAGTACTGCAATAAACATGGGTATGCACAATCTTCCTTGGATATTTACATTCTTTGGAATATATTCTCAATGATGGTATGATGGAGTCATAACACAGATCTATTTTTAGGTTTCTAAGGAATCTCCGTACTGAATTCCATAAAAATTGAACTAGTACAGGTTTTTCAAGTACTTCTTAATCATCCTTTATTTGATATTTGTTGTGATACTCCCTTTTTCATCTCTAAATTCATTGTCTCTCCTTTTCTTGTTTTGGTCAAAGTAGCTAGTGCTTTATCAACCTTATTTTTTTAAGGAACCAACTTTTTTTTCACTGATTCTTTATATCCTTTCATTCCTTTCTGCCCTTCTTTACTTCTGTTTATTTAGGGTTTGACTTGTTCTTATTTTTCTGTATATTCAAGGTATATTAAGCTACTTATTTGAGTGTTCTTTGTTCTTATGTTGTAGACACTCATAGCTATAAAACTTTCTACTTAATACTGCCTTTTCTGTATTCCAAAGATTCTGCTAAATTATTTTTATTTGAATATAGGAACTTTTTTATTTCTCCCTCTTATTCTTCAGTTTCTCACTCATCATTCAATACTGTACTGTTCTGTTCCATGGGTTTGAATGTTTTCTGTAGTGTCTTTTGCTGTTGATTTCTATTTAATTCCATCATAGTCTGATGGAATATAGGAAATTATTTCAGTTTTCTTGTATCTGCTAAAAGATGATTTATACTGTTGAATAAGATCTATTTTGAAGAAAGTACATTTGTCAAATTTAGGGCAGTAGTATATCTTTATCAACACATATTTCCACTCAAAAAGCTTGGAAAATGTTTCAGTAACATTGAGTAAAACTACAGACTTCTTCCTCTATTCTAGATAACCAAAGTATATAAATTATTTTTGCACAAAGTATCTCCCAAAGTTAACTTATAACATAGAATTCTATCTCTCAAAAGCAGTTGTAACCATTCAAATTGAATATGTATAACAGTATAAAAAGACAACAAATGTTAAAACCTCAATGCAACTTTTTAAAAAATTTAAACTGACTTTAGCATTAATGTCTTTGTTTTTTTGTTTGTTTTTTAATGGTAAACAAAGGCTGAATTAAGGGCTCTTAAGCATCAGACAACAGCTATCCGTGAGTGTTCTGGTTAGGAATTTAACAAAGCTTTAAAACTTTGAGCCTACGGCAAGAGCTAGCAAGTGATTTCAGAAACAGAATGCAGATATTAAGAGATGGACAATTCATCTATGTGAAGCAAAGTTTCAGCATCTCTACACATATTCCACCAGTTTGATATAAAGTAGGGGAAGAGTAGAACAGTTTAAAAGATTATACACACACGTAAAGACTATCGGCAACCTACATCTCAATGTCATTAATTTAATGAAATACATTGCTGTTTTTTTTTAATATTCTTTCCTTTTTAAATAAGTGCTGCCCTCTTCCATTGCAATCTTCTTACTTGGAAGTCAAATCAGCCTCATTGATGATTTTAGAACATAGCGTGTCCAGTAAAGGGAACTAAAGCCTGCCATGAGTAAGCACAAATAGACCCAGCTTACAAGCATTACATTTGAAAGTATTCTGAGTATTATAGTTTCTATATGTGCCTGGAAATGTGCCTAATAAATTTTGTATAGCATCATGCCTTGCATTTAATAGACAATTTATTCAATACCAACTTTATTTCCACTTAACATACATTCACATATCCTGAATATATTCATCTAAGTAAAGGATGAATTAAGAATATTTCTTAGGAATAAAGAAGGCTGATTTAGAACAGAGCTTTTTGAATGCATTAGTATGTTTATTCACATTATTGCACTTTCATTGTATAATTAAATCTGAGTACATAATATAATGTTCAACTTCAAACCAGCTGTAAAAAGATGCTTTTAAAATACAGTATTTAAGTCATTTTGAAAAATGGTAAATAAAAACCAACATGAATCCAGTACTCTGCGATAGTACATTATTCCCCACAATTCTGTGCAAAAGGGATGTTGTCTGACCATTTACATTCAGTTTGTGTCTTCTCTTCTCAGACGAAATGCTTTTCAGGCTAAGGATGCGGCTCAGTAGCAGCAGAATGTATCTGCTAAACTCTAGGTTAATCTCCAAAAACACAAAAAAAAATTTTTAAAGAAAATAAAAGATTAATATTCTATTTCAGGTAAAGACAACTCACCATTATCTAATATTTTGATGGTGGTTTATAATTACTTATCTTTCTAAAATTTTAGAAAAAAAATGCTATATTCACAAATATAAAATACTATTATGTTTCTCATACTGTTCATTCTGTTTTGTAAAAGTTTATGTTGTCCAGACTGGCCTCAAACTCATGACACAAACCAGGATCTTGCCTGAGCCTTCTGAATTCTAGGATTACAGGAGTACCCCATTATACCCAATTTCTTATACTATTTTTAAGAAGCTAACTATCCTGATATTTTGGGTGGAAAAAAATGTACTCATTAACTTCACAAATCTATACAGCTCATTACTGTACCAGATAGTGAAACCTTAGAGATTAATCCTCATCATCTTTGAGAATTTATATGTAATAGGTGAATTACATCTCCAATCAGCTTTTTGAAAGCTAAGTGGGGAGCTGGGAAATGGCTTAGTGGTAGAGTGCTTGCCTTGCATGCAGGAAGCCCTGGGTTCGATTCTTCAGCACCACATAAGCAGAAAAAGCCACAAGTGTCACTCTGGCTCGAGTGGTAGAGTGCTAGCCTTGAGCTGAAGGACAGCGCCCAGGCCCAGAGTTCAGGCCCCATCACACACACACACACACACACACACACACACACACACACACACGCACACACGCAAACTAATTGGAAATAGTCTCTTTAAGATTTTTTTTGTCCACATTGGCTTTGAACCACTATCCATAGATCTGAGCCTCCTGAGTAAATTTGCTGATTTTTCTGTTCAGTAGTTCAATGTAGAGTAATATCACTATAAGAAATCAACTCTAATCCAGGAGACTATGGCAAGAGGATTATGAGTTTGAGGCCAGCCTAAACTATATAACAAGAACCTGAAAGGGAAAAAGAAAAATAAATAAGTACAAAGGGAAAAAAAAACAATCTGAAAGGGGAGAGGAAGGAAGGAGGGGAGGAGAGAAAGGGGAAAGATAAAAGGAAATGAACTCTAAATTCACACCTTATCTAAGTTGGGGCCATTTTTTTAATGTGGATAAAAGTTAAACACATATAAAAACATGAAATGAGCAGGGTGAGTCTGAGTCTTTGTCTCAAACAAAAACTATGTGTTTAACATCAGTAGGTTTGCTAAAGTACTAATAACTAATCAAAGTTCTAGAAATACTCTCATTCTGGCAACAGCCCAAAAGGTTAATTCCTAGAAAATTCAACCTGATATACCGAAATAATTATCACAATTAGAGAACGCAATTTTCTATTTTTGAGACAAAATATATAAATTAATACTGGTTAATATCTCTTGCTGTGTACTGAAATTGTGGCATCCTATAAAGATCTGTGCCACATACCTTTTAGATAAAATACAACTGGTCATACATTATTCTTTCCACACATAATCATAGAAAAATATAAAACAATATTGGTAGCATCATGTATGATTACCAAATGTCACCCATATGAGTATATAACTGTATCAAATCAATACCAAACAAAGTGTGCCCTCAATTCTGACCACCATTAAATCTGAGTAACTTGAGTCATATAGTGAGTTGTAATCCTCCATCCACTACTAGAACGTGACCTGTGATATATGGTGATTCTAAAAGAAACACAACTGCATGTGCCACATCAATAGTTTCTCCAAATCTCCCAAGAGGAATGTTTTGCTTTAAATGTTCTTCTTTCAAATGTTTCGTCATATCTGTATGAATAAATCCTAAAAGAGAAATATTTATTTAGTGGAAAGAGTAAATTACGAGCAGGTACTCAACTTAAATAGTAATGAATTTGCTCCTGAAAATTTGAGACTATTAATAAACCTGTTTAGAAAATACAGGATTTTGTTAGCAATTAAGTAATTAGGTCCATGAATTAATTCACTTTAATTCAATGAATATTTATTGACCACTAATGTATCTGACTCCCAAGTATTTAACCCATTCCCTTTGGGCAATCTATAACTTGTAAACTTTTATTATGTAAGTCTGTTCAATATCTTTATGTAAGTATAACCAAAATCTCACTGAAACAATTAATTTTCAATTGGCTGGGGTAGAGGATGAGAAGTGGTATTAAGGGAAGGAAGGGATTGTAAAGGTAGACATATAACTGTTTTAGCAATTCCAACAAGAATTAGTAACATTTACTATAAGTAAGGTAACTCATGATGGGAAAGCTCATGTATTTAAGAAAAAATACCAGGGAGATACCTAATTTTGATGAAATACAAAAATTCAAAATTTACTTGGTATTGGTACATGTATACAATAAAGCTTGCAAAGAAAATGTAAAGTTCTACAGTATGAAGCACTTTATATTAACTGGCCAATTCTAAATGACTACAAAAGAACTGTCAATTAAGAAAATCTTCTAACATTAGTTCTAGACATATAAATACAAATTACTAATAAAATTCTTAATCAGTATTTTATTATTTATTTTATGCTTTATCAGTATTTTAACCCATAACAGCTATTTTATTCACTACTCAATAATTAGGTGGTTGTTTTGTGTGTGTGTTTTTGTTTTTGTTTTGCCAGTCCTGGGGCTTGAACTCTGGGCCCGGGCACTGTCCTTGAGCTTCTTTTGTTCAAGGCTAGCACTCTACTACTTGAGCCACAGCACCACCTCCAGCTTTTTCTGTGTATGTGATACTGAGGAATTGAACTCAGGGCTCCATGCGTTCAAGGCAAGCACTCGACCTAACTAAGCCAAGCCCATCCCTCGATCATTAGGTTTTAAAAGAGAAGGTAAATGCTACTCATGACAAAAAAAAAAAATTAAAGTTCTTTTTCAAAGAAACAGACTAAAGACAAAGTCTCACGAAGGAAAAATTCAATGTACAATTTCAAAAACATTTTTCAAATTAGCTTATGTTACAGTAAATAATTTATCATTCAAACTTAAATATACTGTCATTAACTTAGATATACTGTCATTTATAAAGGGAAATAACTACTAGATTAAGATTCAATTAGGCCACTGGTTTATTATGAAATACTATGTAATTTACTCTTTCATTTATAAAAACCTTAATATTTTCCTCACAGACTTGTGATAAATAATCATAAGCTTTTCTGTCATAAAGTCTATCACAACAGTGACAAATTATTGGGGAAAAACTAAAAACAAACTGAAGGTCTTTCAACAAGGAACTTGTTTAAAAAGCCATGATATTCACAACAGAATAATAGGTATCAGTGGAAAAAATAATATTCGTATACTGAAATTAAGTTATATCACTAAAAAAACAAATATATACTAATGACTAAAACTTCTGAAGTATTAACATTATCACCTGATTATTATTAGATGCCAGAATTACAGGTAAATAATATTTACTATGTACTTTTCTGATTTATTCAAACTGTCCACATGAGATGTATAATTTTTTGTTTTGATACAAAGTTATTGAAAAAATATTCATAGTACTCATTTCTGAGAATCTTGTAATGAGGGCTAGAAATAAAACTAATTTTGTATTATTTGTGCTTCACTATGAAATGATATTGTGAAGTATAGCTTCCTCTGTTATAAAAAAATCTTACTGATGTGAAAACCAATATTTTCTTGATTTCCTTTCACCTTTAAGAAAAGAGTAAAAGATGCAGTTGATGTATATAATGATAACCGGACTCTTCAGAACTTTAAGTAAATTATAAGTGAAACAATTTACAATGAAGAGCCACAATAAACAATAGGCAATCCAATTATCCTACAAATGCTCTCCCTTCCTTGCTTCCTTCCTTCCTTCCTTCCTTCCTTCCTTTCTTTCTTTCTTTCTTGGGCTTGACCTCTGAGCCTAAGAGCTGTCCCTGAGCTCTTCATCTCAGGTGAGCACTCTACCACTTGAGCCACAGCACGACTTCTGGTTTTCTGATGGTTAATTACAGAAAAGAGTCTCACAGACTTTCCTGCCTGGGCTGGCTCTGAACTGCGATCCTCAGATCTCAGCCTCCTCAGTAGCTAGGATTACAGGCATGAGCTACCAGTGCCCAGCTCATGTGGGTTCTTGATACACAAAGTTTTCTGTCTTGGTACACACTTAATTTTAAAGGTGTCCCAGAGGTACTAAATAAAGTACCCGAGGGAAAAAACTCACCTCACATCTGCTATAATGAATTAAAAGTACAAACGTAACATTAAGAAGTTCATGTTATCTTCCCAATGGGTTCATGATACTATTGTTCTCTAGTCTAAGATCTTCTTGAATTCCAGAAAAATTTGTATAGAACACTTCCTGAAAACTCTGGGCAGAAAAATAAGATACATTTTAATCTAAACAGACACTTACACAACAAATGGTTTTCAAAAAAGAACTTGTAATGGGTAATTACAGGCTCAACTTCTAACCATTTTTGTGGTAAAATGATGACTAGATTAAGATATATTAAACTAGATTAAGCTCCCTGCTCCATTAATATTTTTAAAGCTGTCACCTGAGGGAAATCATATACTATCTAATACTGTATGGTTGTTTCTGTATCATCAAATGAAGTAGATTACAAATGATAAGATCTCTGTGTTTCCTTTAGCTCCATCATATTACAATCTGAATATGAAAAGTATGCCTCATTAAGTAGTCGTCATGATTTCTTGACTCTAGTTTAAAAATTCAGATTCCCTGAAAAGCCTTACATTGGAGGTTCGAATAGCTTCAATTCAATGAAGTACTGGTGCTACTCTGTGTTTTCACCCATGCTATGCCCTACATCTGATGGATATTAGTTCTAAGTGTTTGTCCTTTAAGGAAAAGTAAGGCTATACAACTTTTGAGAGGCAATTTGTACATGTTTCCATCTTGGAAAAATGTTCTAGAACAAGACTAGACATACTAAAGGCAAAGCTTAGATAGGGAAACAGGTTTAAGAACAACCCCAGAAAGATGGAAAGATGATCTATCCTACACATACATGTGCTATGGAGAGACTGGCCTCCAAAATAACCCAGCGAGAAAAATATATGGAACATAAAAAGGTTAATATTGTAAAGCTTTTACTGAGGTCTTATTAATCATTATATCCAGGATTCAGCTCTGTAGATGACAAATATGATCTGTTGTCCAGCTGGGCAGTGCCCTCTGACTGCAATCACAATGTTCTACACCCAGGAACAATTTTCCTCCACCTTAAAGCTTGGAAGAGAAAGACATCATTTTATCAGAGAAGGCTTACCACAGCCTCTCCCTAGACCTATGAATGAAACACATTCTTGGAATGACAAACTTCATGGGACAGCTGCTAGCCACTACAGAAGACTACAATCAAATCCTAAAAGTAAAGGAAGTATGGGAGGCCACACTGAAGGATGAAAAAAAAAAAAAAAAAAGACAAGGTGTGGCTCAATTCATTGTGCACCCGACAATGAGTGAAAGTTTCAGGTACCAAGCTTAAGTCCTAGTCTCAGACCAAAAACACAAGTATGGGAAGAATTCATTCATCATACTGCTTTTTCCTCTTAGATTATGGCTGATAAGAAAAGCACTTATCTAATCATTATCTGAAACTTTTTAGAAAATAGACTATCTTTTAGAACTATTTTAAGTTTACAAATAATTGAGTAAAGGTACAGAAAGTTCCTATACACCTTCTTATCTCACTGTCTCTCCATTTCCCTATTAATATCTCAGCAAAAGGTGGTAGATTCTTACAACCAGTGAGCTCAGTGATTCATTAGAAAGTAAAATCCCCAGGCTGAAGGCATAGATCAAGTGGTAGAGCACCAACACTCACATACATGAGGCCCTGAGTTCAATCCCCAGTACCGGCAAAAAAAAAAAAAAAGAAACAAAAAAAAGGTAACCCTGGTTGACATGAGGGTTCACTCTTTAGGATGTAGTTGTACATGTTTAAACAAATGTATAAGCATCAATTGTGTCAAGGCTATCACAGAATCAGATAGAATAGTTTTTCTGCCCTAATCTACCTATGGCTTTCAAAAATTTGTGTATATGTATCAGTTCACCAAGAATTAAGTATGAAATGTGATACTTGTTTCCAGTCATAAATTACTCTGGGCCCTGCCAAATTTCAATGCTATTTTATACCACATAATCCTCATTTATAAATATACTCAGAACCCAAGGCACTACTTACAAACACTTTAGGTCTCTACAACATATACCATAGGCCAAAAGAGAGATACTGATAATCTCTAAATATCCCACACCCATCTTTATGCTTCTTTCTTTCCAGTTCCTGCTCTCTGTCCTTGGGCCCAAAGGACTTTGATTATCATACTTTCACTTTCTTTATAAAATCTGCAAGTTTTCCTCTACTTCTTCCTCTTACTATTTATTATTTATTACAATGACTTTAAGGCTTGACTATAAAAACTGTAAACTACCAGCAGGTGCCACTGTCCAACAAATGATGTTACCGTATTACTTTATTGAACACTTAAGAGATTTCAATTAGCTACTAAGCTAGCATTCCTTAAATCAAGAAAAACTGAAATGACATGCACTCAACCAACTTAGAACAAGAATACTTCTATTTTAGTATCAGGTATATATGTAACAATGTACCCACTATGCTTTATTGTGTGTATAAGTACATGTGTATGCATGTGTGTCTATGTGTTACAGAGGACAAATGTCAGAGTCCTGTGCATGCTGGACAAATGCTCTAACACTGTGCCTCCTATCTCACTTTTTAAAATATCAACTCCACAGGAACAGAGAAACTCACACTCATGAATGGTAAGTGAATGGCTCTAGGCCAAAGAAAATTTATATTTGATAAAATCTGAGGGAAATATCATTTATCTTTTTTGACCAGCTATATGGTATAAATAGCAATATCTCTTTTCCATATTACTATGTCACTGCTTTGGCTTTCAAGACTTTTATATACAAGAAAGATTTTATATTTAAGAGATACCAAGATGTTAGGCTATTATAAGAAATATTTGAGACCAGAAGAATTTCAGATTTTTTCAAATTTGAAATATTTGCATATATGAGACATCTTAGGGATGGGTCCTAAGTCTAAACCTGAAATTAATTTATGTTTTATATGTACCTTTTGCACATAGCTTCAAAGTAAGTTTATAAGACAGTTCTATACCCTGCCTTTTAACTATGACCTATCACATAAAGTCTGGGATGGAATCTTCACTGTGGTACCATGTCAGCAATTCAAAAAGCATAAAATTTTGAAGTATCTTAGATTTGGTAATTTTAGAGTAGGACGTCAAAAGCTATTATCAATTATAGAATGTGGCCCTATTGAATATACTTGCTGGTTCAGATGTCTCTCTTTAGATTTCTAAGGTCTGGGAGAAGCAAAAATGACCCCAGACACTTTTATGAGAAAAAAGAAATAAAGGTCATACCAAAATACTAGATCATAAACTTGACCAGAATAAATCGCTATGTCTATTTTGTGCAGAGGGGAAGATGAGAAATTAATGCCAGGAAAAAAATAGCACCTAAAGTAGTATCTGCTCTGAGCAAACCAATCAACAGGATTCTATCAAGTGGTAAACACAAAAGCTCTTCAACCTAAAATTATGACATACTAGAACAACCTAAGGATTGGGAGGCTAAAGCAGGAGGATCTTAGTTTAAAGCCAATCTGGGCTCCACAGCAAGACCTTGTCTCAAAAAACAATCAAAGAAAAAAAAGAAGAAGTACAAAACACTCAAGTGTCCTATAGAAATAAACTCAATGCTTCACTATTGGTCAAAATTAAAAGTTATCCTTGGCAGTTCAACTCCCAGGATTACCATCAAACACATAAACGTGAAAGGTTCCAGATAGTTTAAAAGAACACAGTAACAAGAGGATGAAAATTTTTAAATCTTGTAATAGAAAGGAAGGATTAGGGAGCATTATTTTTAAGCTCTTCATAAACTAGCTGTGTAATCTAATGCAAGTTACTCTGAGTATTAGAGTCACAGTTTTCTAAACTGAAAAAATAATTGGTAAAAATGATCTCTAATTATCTTAAATTACCCCATAATTAGAGCAAAGTTTTAAAAATAAAAATTTTACCTATTGATTAATGTAAACTTTTAATAAAAGTTTTACCTAAAATATGAAGCACAAGCATTTTATTCTAGTCATCAGTTCATTATTTATTTTTACAAATTTGAGAGCCATTCTGCCCAAGCATCAAGTAATGGCTACCATGAATGGACAAATTAATGACATATTTCTCTGTAAAACAAAGCCATCATCAATTCACTTATTTTAATAATAAAAGTGTTCACTGACCTGGTGCAACTACATTCACTCTAATTTTCTTTCTGGCTACCTCTTTAGCAAGTGCACGTGAAAATCCAACTAATCCTGCTTTACCAGCACTGTACACAGTCTGACCAGAATTGCCTTTTAGACCAACAATACTTCCTAGAAGAAAAAAGAAGAGTAATCAAATTCAAACTAGTTAATAGGATTATGTGAAAATTCAAACAATAGGATTACCAAACAGAAAGGTAAAACCCATTTTATCTTATCCTATGCTAAAATTAGAATGCTAACCATTGTTATATTAGTAGTAAGATTTAAGACCAAATCTCCTCCAGACAAATACAGAAAAGGAATCTGAAATAAGCTGATGTAAAACCACAAGTGCCAGGAATCAGGCTTACAAACTGACCTATTAAACAGGAGAGACTGGATTGGGACTGTAGTCAAGTAGCAGAGACCTGCCTACCATGCCCAAGACATTAATTTCAATCTCCAGTATCACTAAAGGAGGAAAAGCAGTGAAGGAGACCCATTCTAATCTCTGACTAAAAATTCTGTAACTTATAATAGCTTCCAGCAGGAAAAACAAAAACAAAAACAAAAACGTTTGGAGCCAGAAAAAATAAAACAAAGGCTGATTCGTTAAGTTTCTATAACCACAGACAAGTATGCACCTCTACCTAAAAGACACTTCATTTGAACTAAATCTGAACTAAATTGGTAAAGCTTTAATTACAAACTTTTCATAAAAGTACAATTTTTTACTCAGTTATATATCATAACTTGTACTGCCTGCTAAAAATTCTTCTGACTTCATCTAATAAATATGAAAGGATTATTTTCTAATGCAAACATCAACTTTTACAACTAAAGGCCTATAAAACAGAAGTGGGGAAATAATTTTCTACACCATCAATCTTGTTTATAAAATAAAGCAAGAACCCCATTAAACTTAATAAGGTAACTTTACTTTAGGAAAACATTCTACCTGTTCATGAATAACCAGCCCAATGTTATAATATGTGCCTATACATACAGTCATACATCACTTCTTACTAAGGGTAATGCACATTTTTAGATCATTTGCCTTAATGCAGCAGCATCCTTCTTCTGTGGCCTTTAAAGGTATTACCACTTAAAAATAAAGGGCAAATGGCATGCTACTTCTTTCAAATTTCTAAGCTGAAGAAGAATTTAAAGTCATCGTGCATTCTAAGTTCTACAGGAACAAGCTCCACAGTTTATCTTCTCCCTGGACTGGAGAGACAGTTTACTTTCTTCACTAATCTACCGGAAGTTTAAAGTCTCTATAAACCTCTGTACTAGATCTATCAGTGACCACTGAGCTGCAGTAATTATTTGTGTAGTCCACAGTATCCACAATTTTTAAAAAATTTGTTCATATTTTGATAGGCTTTACATGATCATCTAAATTACTCAATTTTCCTTAAAAATCAAAATTGATGGAAAACTTGGGACCATATTCTTGCAATCTACTGGATCTGAGTCCTACCCATTCCATACCAGCAGACACTGAACGTAGGTGTGTTTGGTCATCTATCTAACACATTTTTATCATTTACTAATACATGACAGTGTCACTCATTTCACCCTCATAGGGATGTAAATTTGTGATTCTTGTTTTACCATCAGTTCATTGAATCTTTTCCCCACAGACAATACTAAAGTTCATCCAAGTTTCAAGCAAGGTACAAATTAGCAGATTCAATGTTTTTATAGTAAAACAGGATAGTCAGAAACCCACAAAGGTGGGAACTCACCGATGTTAACAATAGACCCTCCCTGTTGTTGAATCATAGTCCTCATGGCAGCTTTACAAGTCAGCATGGAACCCAAGAGGTTGGTATGAAGCTGAGATACTATATCTTCAGATTCTGTTCTTACTAAAAGACTATCCCTACAAAAGATAAACGGCATGTAAATAAACAAATTTAAAAGTCAAAATATATGCAGCATTTTGATTAAAATACAGTATAAGAAGTACTTTATGATTTTGTTCATAATTTATCTTTCTATAATGTTTTGTTTCATTACTGCCTGTTTATTGTTGCTGTTGTTTTCCTTTTGGCAATGTTGAGGATAGAGTCTAGGACCTCGTATATTCTAAGCAAGTGCTTACCATTAAACTATATTCATAGGCCCCCGACCCCACCCCAAAAAAGTACTTTATTTCTGAGTTAGAATACCTGGAAAATCCTTTTAAAGAGGGCTTCATAGCCACTAAAATAACAATTGATGGGCTGGAATGTGAAATATCCTTAACTGCTAATAGTACAAGCAGCCAATAAATTTTGAAAGGCCTAAGCAACTGTCAATTTCACCTTGCTTAAGAAAACTGGTATGTTATTCTCAATATTTTCTCCTAAATTTGTATTTTAAAAAAAGAAGGGCTGGGAAGGTGGCTCAGTGGTAGAGGTAGAGCACTTGCCTTGCATGCTTGAGGCCCTGGGTTCAATTACTCAACACCACATAAGCGAAAAGAAAAAAGCCGGAAGTGACGCTGTGGCTCAAGTGGTAGAGCACTAGCCTTGAGCTAAAGAGCTGAGGGACAGCGCCCAGGCCCAGAGTTCAGGCCCCATGACCGGACCCAAAAAAAAAAAAAACAAACCTGCCCTCTGATTCCATTAGTATCAAGTTCATGTAGAAGCAAAGCATGTATGTATGATGACAAAGAATTACTACTTCTATAAAGAAGTAGTCATTGAGAAAAAATTAAGCAGCTTCAAGAAACATTCTGTGATTCAATACGGGGGATAATTACAATGTATAAAGTGATCAAATTGGACATTTATTTCAATACAACAGAAAAAATATGTGGATTAATAAAATTTTATACCATGTACTTTGTCTTCCAATTAGAAGTAAAAAATGGCTTAAGACATTAGCTCATACTAATCATACTAAAAAGATTTTTTTTAAGACATTCAATATTTACTCAAATCTGTGACCAACCTGTTAACACCAGCTGCATTTACCAAGAAATTTACTTGGCCTAAATGTTTCTCCATCTCTCTAAATGTATTTTGAACATCATGTTCTTTAGCAACATCACAACCAAAGGCCAAATGATCTCCTACAAAATAAAGTTAAAAGAGAATTACTTAGAAAATGTAACTTGTATTTTGAATTCACTTAACACACACTTTTCAAGCACTTATTATAAAATAAAGCTGTGTTAAACCTAGATATGAAAGGTAATCATGGGTTCTTGCTGTCGTGTACTTGTCTAACGAAACCAGCATGGGAGTGGGCAGCATTATAGAAGGGTAATATTTTTATTTTGAAGGAGCTATATAAAGGGCTACAATTTCACTAAGTCAGATTATGAGCACTTCTTGGGCAATTTTACCCAAAAGGGTAATTTTTTAATTGGTTTCAGTGGTATTGTTTTTTAGGTGTGTTTTTGTTCTTGTTATTATGGGAGTTTTTGTTTCTGGGTTGTTCCTTTGTTTTTTGGTTGTTTTGGCTGTTCAAGGACAGTCTAGGCAATTCAGTAAAACCCTGACTCTTCACAAAACTTTTCTTAAAAGCATTTTAAAATCTTTAAAGATAAAACGATTACACTGTCTTTAATTTAGAAGTTGGGGTGGGGCGCCTTTTTCAATTTCACAATGCTTTTGTAAGATTTATATAAAGCCTTAACACCGAACTCATGCAACAAATTCAATATTCTTACAAGGTTTATATTCCTTGTTTGACTTCTTTTTTTTGTCAGTCATGGGCCTGAACTCTGGGCCTGGGCTGTCCCTCATTCAGCTCAAGGCTAGTGCTCTACCACTTGAGCCACACAGCACCACTCCTGGCTTTTTCTGCTTATGTGGTGCTGAGGAATTGAACCCAGAGCCTCATGAATGCAAGGCAAGCACTCTACCACTGAGCCACCTTCCCAGCCCTTGTTTGGCATTCTTTTAGGTTAAATTGTTCCACACGGACCCCAAGGATGAAGGACAGAGTTGAGTTTTGTTCTGTAGTATAGTACTAGGGGACTAAACCCAGGACTTTAGGAATACTATGCATGCACTATGCCACACTCCACAGCCTTTTGTTTCTTCAGATGGAGTCCCAGGCTGGACTAGAATTCATAATCCTCCTGTCTCTGTTCCTAGGAGTGGCAATTTTAAGCATTCACTACCACCCATGGCTTTTTTTTTTCTTAAGCTCTACAAATATATCCTCGTTCATATAATGACTATTATTCAAGTCTGCCCATCTGGAGAGATAATACAGGAAGCTAAATATTTCTATTAAAAAAACTAAAATTACACCTACACAGAAAATAAAAATGTTTTTCCTAAAGGCAAAATTTACCTCTCAAAAACATGTACTTGTAAAAAATATTTTAAGGCCGGGCGCCGGTGGCTCATGCTTGTAATCCTAGCTACTCAGGAGGCTGAGATCTGAGGATCGCGGTTCAAAGCCAGCCCGGGAAGGAGAGACCGTGAGACTCCTATCTCCAATAAACCACTAGAAAACCGGAAGTGGTGCTGTAGTTCAGGTGGTAGAGCACTCGCCTTGAGCTGAAGAGCTGAGGGACAAGCGCCCAGGCCCAGAGTTCAAGTCCCACAACCGCCAAAAAAAAAAAAAAAAATATTTTAAGTGCCCTCAAAACACACTCTCAGTTCAAACATTTCACTTTGGGAAAGACTATGGACCAGCATTAATGGCTGAAATTTCATGAAACTCTGTGTCACCTACCCCAGATTTTGCAATAGTTTAGAGGCAGCTCTAGTACCAACCAGCCTGTGACCCCCCCAACAACTTGGGAGAGACTGCAGGAGAATCTCTCCTGGAAGACAAGGCTGGGCTACAGGGCAAGACACTGTCTCAGAAAGAATTATACCGTTATCACGAGTGTAGAAAAGGATCGAATTTAAATCTGAAGCGGTGTCTCCAGCGCAAAATCCAAACAGAAGTAAAATCGGGTATCGGAACACTCTAAAATATAAGGAAATAAAGAAGCTAAAACAATGGTTATGTCTGGCCTAGGGCTGGCCAAGTATGTCTACGCTGACATGATTCCTTGGAGCTTTTGGAACTCGGGGCTTCACTGATGAAACCCCTCACTTGGCGGGAGTCGATGGCTGGCACCGATCACGTGGGGAAGATTGGGGTTTGAAGCCAGCCAGGGCAAAGACCTCGTCTTAATAGATATAAAAAAGGGGGTGTCGGGGCGCCAGGGGAGCTGCCTGTAAGCCCAGCCCCTCGGAAGGCCGAGCTGGGGTCCGAAACTTGCGTTGTCTGACGGAGCACCGCACGAGGGCTGGGCCGCAGGGCGAGGCTGGGCGGGATGCGGGGGCCCGGGGGCCCGCGGCGGC